GCATGTTTTATTACAGAGCACTTTCAGGCCTTTGAATTACCCATCAAGAAGAGGCTTCTTCTCTGTATGATGGTCATCAATCCACGAGTTAAAGCCCATCCATGCAAGCAAGTAAAGAGCTTCGAACATGAGCTCATGAAATCGAATAGTGTGATTAGATGTACAACCTTCTAGAACACCAGATACAGATCCTTCAGTAATTACCCCAGACTCGATTATCACATCTCGTAAACCAGCATCCTAGAAATGTTTCCCAGTCACTGACAAGAATGTGCAAATGGTATGTGTGGTGATGGCCAATAAATAAGCAGATTAACACGGATTAAACCTTTTGAAGTGTTTTAATTCACTGCACACGACTTTTACAACACGCCATGCTTTTCCGCTACCCGAGATGCAACTCGAACCTACATTACACCATGTATGCGGCACGAAATGTCTCAATAGCCTAAACACTACAGTATGGAACACATCCACCCTCAAAACAAGATCCTTAAACTGCTCTCTGTGCTTCCACTTTATCACAGTAGCTTAAGCATATAGTGCCTGGTCAAACACAACTACTCTGCTTTGGAGATTCAAAGTCTCCTTGATCTGTATGGACCTCATTAGGACTTGGGGCACAGTAGACATGTTTGTCGCTGGGGCATTTATTATTAGAAGGTAATAAGCATTATCCCCGGCAACTACGTACTTGTTACGTACTAAAATATGAAAGGCAGTCCAACTAAGAACAGATTGCTTCTCACTTGCATGAATGCGTACTAAAACTCATAGCAAGTTCTTCCACACTGCTCACCAGTATTGTAGACAGGTGGAATTTCACCATTCATTGACTCAATAATTCTCCTCTTGGATTTCGCGATGATTGGCGCTGAATCTGACGGAGGATGGAGACCAAAATGATTGGCTTGAACCACGATTCCATTGACTTGGTGGGATATAACTTCACTAGACAAAGTCTCCTCAAGACGATCAATATCATCCCAGGCTAGAGTGGTACTGATAAATGGATGGATGTTGTCAGCAAGAGGAACTTCATTGCATGATGGTGATGCCCAATTTTTGTTGCTGAGAGATTTAGCATGTGGAAGTAGAACTTGCTTTGGGGGCCTTTGTGGTCCACCACTTGCATCAAATACCAAGTCCTGACCAAATGAGTTAAAAAGGGGTGAAACCTTCTCAGAATGAGACTGCAATCCTGGAAATCTGGTGCTACCAGTCAGTAGAGTGAACAAAAACTCTTTGAGATAATCTGGAATGGCCACGGCATTTTCAGTCAGCTTGTAAGGTCGTGGAGGCCATGATGCTTTTATTTCTTGTGACTGGATGGTTTCTCTAAGGTGGACGGTGGTCTTTGAAATATATTTGGCACTGTTTAAAAGGCGAAGCACAATCACACTTCTCCATCGCTAGCTTGGCCAAATCCAGTCTGGAAAGGCTATGCGGAAAAACAAAAACATGTTTGTTGCTATAAAGGTCTTCAAAATCTGGTGTATCTCTAAATTCTCCTTCAAGGTTTCTTCTGAAATGGGTTCTTGTAGATTCTTTGACTTCCACTTCCACGACTTCTTGAGACTTCAAGAAAGATGTAAATAAGGTGTATAACTCGGCTATTCTAACAACCCTCTGGTTTTGAAACAAGCCTGTTTTGGTTTTGGTAAACAAACTCTCATAGGCTTGTGATTTTGCATTAACACCTCCTTGAACGTTTTTAGTGTAATCATGATAACAAGATTTATGGTAACAAGCTTCTGCCGCAATAACTTCTCTGCTGACAATAGTCATTATACTTCCATGGTTTTTACTCACTGCTGCTCTCTTGATGATGTTATCAGCATGTAGGTCAACACACTGAATAAGTGCCTCTCTAGTTTTTGTTCCTTGAAGGTCTTTAGTCTTTTCACAAGAAACACAAATTTCCTCATACAATTTACTTTGCTTGGAGACGGGTTGTCGGATTGAAGATCCGCGGCTACTTGTGTCACCTTGCTCCTCGACTTGGACAGACTGAGACATCTTTTAAAGATTCCTCTTTAAGGTAAAAATACTTTGACGTTTCCTGTGATTTGACATATGAGGTATGTCTCCTTCCTTTAACGTTTTTGCTCTGCCAAGGATCTCCTCATGGTTCCGAATAACTGCAGTATTTTCGATGACTTGAGTTCGAATCTAAATCTCCAGTTTCGTCAGTACTGTGGATGATGCATTCGTTGTCTTCCCGTTGTGATTTGTACTCTTTGGCATTGCTTTCTAGAGTTCTCCATTTCACTCCTTGGGTGTTCAATAATAGGTGAAGTAAAGATTGTCAGCTTGATATTGCGCTTCTATTTTAATAATAAATTGTTACAGGCTTAAAATATTCGAAAAAAAGTTAAAATTTGGGATTAATTAGTTCAGCGGTTCAATAATAAATTCGTATCCTCAAGTTCGTGCAGATCTCGAATGACTGTAAGTTTTACATGAATTGTTGTTTCAGTTATCATCAACTCTCCATCAAAATGCTTCTTGTTTAGTTACCTAGCTATAAATTGCCGTAGTTTTGATTAGATTTCAATTTAATAACGATGAAAATCAATGAACAAGTCAACGTACTCACCTGCCATTAAAGCCGCCATGGTGAATTTCCCCATAATGCATTGCAAACTTTAAGGGAACCGTTGATTTTTACATTTTTTTGCTTATAAAGAGATAAATTGAAATCTGGCTAATGGAAAATAATGCATGCGTGGTCATGTCGTGAATGTAGGTTTGAAATTATTTTTGGTTTGATTTTTTTGATCTGACTTCCAAGCACAAGCTTAATTTTCATGCAAAAGCAAACTTTGATGATATTTCAGTCCTAAACGCTACTCTTGTCTGGACTATTAGGTTTGTTGTTTTATCTGGCTTAAGCATAGTTACTGGTAATGTGTCCTAAGGATAGTGTAACCTCTGAATGCAAATATGTCTGTTTGAAATGATACATGGTGCTAGTTACTGTTTATGACTTTAGAAATATGTGGGTAAATGCAAATATTAATCTTTTTCACACTGACTGTATTGTAAGAAAAAGTATGTATTTCTCAAGAATAAGGAAAATAAGCCTCCCAAGTGAAGTTTGCCTTACAGTGAGAGGAACATTCTGGCCTCCATGTGTTTGAACTGAATCCAATCCATTGTTTAATTCATCCCCGCAGTAGTTTCAGATTTAGGATGTCCCATTTGTTCCTCCAAACAAATATTTGTATGTATCTTCTTTGAGTGAAAACTACTTGATGGAGTTTATCCTTTCTTAGTCTAATGGGTTGCATTTCTTAAAAAATGTACAAGATGCGAACTGGATTTACAAGTCTGTGTTTACCTTTGCAGCATGGATTAATCCTGGCAGCATTGGTTGTCACAAGTATTTTAGCTGCATAGCGGCCTTGGAGGGTGCTCAGTGCAACTCCTTATTCAGTTTTAAATTTTAAACATGGGTACATCTGAATGTTGAGAAAAATTGATTGAATTGAGAAAAACCTCAAAATAATGGAATCACAAGGTAGCTATCGCTGCAGCTTGCTTGGAGACTGGATCACAGTAGGAGAGTCTATGTGTTCTGTTCTGAAGTAGTTAACCCTCACAAACATGCTATTTGCATGAATAATGAGGCGCACAGTTTCCCTGAAAAACTCCTCTCAAATTTGCAAGAGGGACGAACTTTCTCTTGAGATTTCCAGACTCACTAACATCCCCAGTGAATTAATCTTAGGGAGCATATGGGCAAGACTAAGGTGTTGCTGCTATGTGATGTTGGAAGGTACCATAGGGAATACTCTCTGATGAGTCTCCAATCTAAAACATTAACTAACAGGTGATCAAACAAAAATCATTAGTGTACAATTAATGGAAAATATGCCAGATATACCATCTATATACATATACAGCAATTAACAATTGCCTGTCTTTTCAATGAAATGCAGCCTTATACCAAGAGCTAATGTCACTATTTAGTAGCTTTCATCCTCATTTCCTGTCACCCCTCCTGCCCGAAAGAAAATTGTTGAATACTGTATGTGATCCTCGTGCGAAAAAGAATGCTTAAGAATTTAACAATGGAACATGAAATTTATTTCACAGCTGCAGATTATGTGTGGCCAGAATTCTGTGAAATGAATAATGTACACAACAAATGGCTATTACGAGCAGCAATTTTACTGTTCAACTCTAACTATAATGATCCAGAGTACCTTAAGATATATAGATTACTTCATGGGAAGGGCACGCATACGGCATTTTTGCATGAATTGGTAATACAAACCAACAAGTACCAAAATGCTGTACAAGTGCCCTCTCGATAATGTAATTTGTTTATGTTATGCATCTTGAGATTCCCCTTTTTCGTTGTTGTTTTATTTTACTTTTATCTTCAAATGGACTTTGTTCTGTAGAAATTGAACCATCTGCACAAGTGCCTGGTGACTTGTTCACAGTGTCATGGTTATTTTGAGTTTTCCGCCATGGAAAACAGGCTCCACTGAAGGGACCATTTGCAGGAAACAGAGGTTTTTATGAACAAAGCCTTTGCTTTAGCCGTCAAAGTGGTGGTTGTAGCAGTTGGTGAAGCATTGTTGTTTTTGTCCGTTGTGGCATCGCATGTTGAAGGCTGTGAGCTCAGTATCAATGACATATTCTTCTGTTGCTCTTTAGAAACAGAGCTGTAGTTGTTTATGCTTTGCACATTATGGTGACCTGAAAGCTGCATGATGTGAGTAGGGAGAGCATTGCTATCGTTAAGTTTTTGTATCATCATTTTTCTTGCACTGTGGTTCGTGAGCCATTACTTCGTGTCGAGTCCAGCTTTGTTTGCCATAGTTTTCATTAATGAGTTCAGTTTGTTTACGTTCATTGCACTTACCTCAAACCAACATCTACCAGAATCCTTTGAATAGTTGATTCTAAGATAGAGAGGGGTCTTGGTAGTCAGCATTGAGTTTGGTCTTTTTTCTTTTATCAAACACAGGGTTTCTCTCATCTGGTCCGTCTTGAGTAGCAAAAGCTTTAGGCTTGGCTGCTCTGAAATTTTGAATTTTAGCTCCAGTTCGGGTTTGGTCTGTCATTCAGAATATTCTAAATATTCAGTTCCATCCACATCTCTGAAATTAATGGAGTTCATAAACCACAATGAGTTCAACAAAGCCTCAGCACTCCAAGCAGGTTTTTCATGGATAGAATGTTGACCTCCTTGTCTGTCATAACCTCTGTTGTGTTTGGCTTGTTGCCCTTCCCTATCTTTTCAGTTGCCTGCTTCGAGCCTCCAAGTTTGTTCAAACTCAAGGTCCTCCATTATGTTCTTTGGATATTTACAAGCTTTCAAGTGAAGGTTGATGCTGGAAAGCAATCCTCTGAGGCTTGAAGGTTCAAATTTGTCCCCATCTTTTCACTTGACAGTTATTATAAATTCACTCAAGAAATCATTTAGCTGCTATGGTAGAATCTCTTCCAGTTTTCTCTCCTCATTCTTTTTCTTTCATAAGCGCCTTTAAAATGGCAATTTCTACCCATGTTTTGATAGCATGTTCTTGTTTTCCTGCTTCCAAATAAACTCATTTTCGGGCTTTTCTAGTGCAGGAAATTGTAAACTTGAGGTTACAGCCATGTCAAAAAGCTAATTTTAGGAAACAAGTTTGACTACAGAATTCCAAACCCCTTTCAAAATGTTTACACAACAAACAACGAAGCTAAGTTTCAAGTAAACTGACGGGGCAGGTGTTATGTTCTCGTGGGAAGGCGAAGGAAAATTATTAAGACGACACAAGATGGCGGACTTCACACTAACTGTATTGTCAACCTGTTAACCTTTTCTCTTTGGGGAAACCTTCATTAGATTGGTTATAGGTTCAGTAATACTGTATAGGGCCACGGCGTTCACATCTATATCAGACGTGTTTAGTCAAGTCAGTTAAATAAGTGTCCAAGGTTTTCATAGCACGTTGCTGACGTCTGGAAACAACCTGCCAAATTACCCAGCTCTGGTTGTCTTTCGCAAAGCGCTCCCCTAAGGAATCTCGTAAGTTTGCATATGTTTCTTTCTTGTTAGAAGGGATGGAGTAACATAAGTCTTCTGCAGGGCCGGCTAGGTTTGTTACTAACTCTGCCAAAGTTGTCGGCCTGGCTGACGGAATTCGGCAAAGTTTTAAATAATTGTCTATTTTGTCCAACCATCGGTTAATATCTTTAAAGTCATAGCCGTGGAGCGAAGGCGGTCTATTTGTGGACGATGATTCTGGTATCGGCGCTGGCTGTTTTCAGTTGAGTCTGGTTTTGTAGTTCGAACCTGGCATGTAGCTTATTTATCTGTTTCAGCACTTCTCTTAATAATTCCACTTTCATGTTTTCAGATTGTCTATGTGGACCTTTTCTTTTTGCTTGGTCTCTTTTATTGTAAGCGGCTTTATGTCTTGAGTCGCACCCTCTATCATCTTCTTCTTCGTTAACTGGTTCGAAATAGAATAAGAGAGATGGTAAGTTTTGAGCTCGATAAAGAAATACAGAAAGATGTTTAAAGCTCTTAACTTACCATCTTTCTTATTCTGTTTACAAATATGACGCTTTCGATATTGCTGATCCTAATAGTATGCAGGACACGTGTCCTATGAACTTCGTAATAGACCTCGCTCACCTGAGTGTCTCTGTGGCTCAGTGGTAGAGCATCGGAGCACGAAATCCGAAGGTCTGAGGTTCCATTCCTCGTGGGGACTCAGAGTTCGTGACAAGACGAAAAACGTCTTTCTCTCTGCTTCGAAATACTTGGAAATTTCTTCGTCAGTATCACTGCTGGAACTCGACTCGAAGAAAAGGATACGGACAGGCTCGTATTATCTGCTGACAAGGGTAATTGTGTCGTGGTTATGGACAAACAGCAATATCATGACAAAGCTTTGTCTCTGCCTAATGACAAAAGTACTTTAACTCTGATCCTACTGGTAAGACTTGAAGAAAGTGACACAAAATGTTGCTTGATTTGACGGCTTATGTCCACGTTTTTATGGCTTAACTAAAATTCAAAAACCGGGAATTCCTTTGAGACCTATTGTCTTTTTCGTGAATTCTCCTACTTATGCCATTTCGGGTTATCTTGCGAGAATTTTGTCGCCTGTTGATGGGAATACTGATTACACTGTCAAAATTCCTGTGAATTTGCGGATTTCATAAGAGATAAAACTCTTAACGCTTGTGAAGAATTAATATCTTTCGACGGTGTCTCGCTCTTCACTAAAATCCCAGTTGATCTTGTCGTTGAGGTTGCGGAAGAGAGACTCAGAGGAGATGCCTTCCAAGGAAAAATAACTTCTTTGCCTGTGGAGGATATTATTCATCTTCTATCTTTTTGCCTCAAAACCAAGAAATTTGCATTCAACGGCACCTACTATCAACAGGAGGGAAATCTGATTTTCCCTTCAAGTAAAAGCTTCCTAATGTATTGGGTTTTTAGTGTTTAATAACTTACCCAGCTCTTGGTCAAACTACAGGTAAATTTACCTCCTCTTTCCATTTATTTATAGCATCAAGTCCATCTTTCAACAACTTCAGTTGATCCAGAATATTATCTGGAACATCTAGGGTTAAGGAGAAAAAATGGTATTTCTGACGAATGAGTCTGCGAATAAGGCAGAAATAAATATTTTGTTGGTACGAGATACGACAAGGCCTGGGCCCTAGGCCTAAGCATCATGGGTAATGATGCAGTGGTATATAAGGGAAAGTATAGCACGTGGTGTCCATCTAGGCCTCAGAACCAACCGTTCGCCTCTGGCTGATGACAAATTTAGTTTAGTTTGAAAACATATTTTCTTTAGCTGTGAAGCCTCGTAGGATGGGCTGCCAACTGCTCTGAGTTTGGGCCATGGTTTCTACCCAGATTTCCTGTCATGTTTTTTCCCCAAAGGGGTTTTTCCGGCAGGTTTTTCTGGCCTCTGTATAACCGTAGTTATGTCCTTGTAAGCGGTTACCCATCTCTGTTAATCCAGACTTGGTGAAGTTTGCATGTTAGTAATGTATACCTTTTTTTAATGTGTAAGGAATTGACTGTATATCAGGAATGTATATGGTATATCAGTTGCGAATATATGTATGTATGCATGCCCCGGGCTATATATGCCTCGGGTTGGTTCTCGGCAGGCTTCCCTAAATAAACTTATTTGGTGTACACTATTGTGTTATTTGTTGTGTAGTGGAGACAAAATACAAACATTACCTGATCGAACTAATGGGTGTCAAAAGCAGCTATGTTAAAATCTTTATAATTGTTTTTAGGGGTAATTGAAAGTTGAATATTTCCCCCTAAGGACAAGCATGTGGCGTAATCCAAATAAATTTTTCCACGATATATTTAAATTCATAGGGCAACCAGGTGGGAATATATGTGGTATTGAACGTCCTAAAGGTAAATGGCTATACCGAAACATTTTTCCACAACTGCCAGAAACCAGTAACACTCCTTATGAGAAGGAACTAGCGACTGGTTTTGTTCTTATTCCTTACATTCAGGATGCTACAGAACCCATCAAGAGAATTTTGAATAACCACAACGTTCAAGTTTCTCAAAAACCTTTTCAGACCTTGGGGCATATTTTTACCAAACTTAAGGATCCTGTTACGAAAGAACAACGAACTGACGCTATTTATTCTGTTCCTTGCAATGACTGTGATAATGAGTATATCTGATAGACCAAACGCCAGTTTGGTACTCGTTTGAAAGAGCATCAAAAAGCGGTCTTCTTTTGCAAAAAAGAAAATTCAGCTTTATCAGAGCACACATACCAACCAGCCATACAATTGGGTGGGATAAGTGTAAAATTATCACCACTAATCGGCGTTACCACCAGCGTCTTTGTTTGGAGGCCTGGCATATCAACTCCGTCCACGCCCCTTTAACTCTTGATGATGGCGGCTTACTTCCTGACGGCTATTTACACCTCGTCAGAAAAAAGGGCAGCTAATTCGTGAGCGTATAAAAGGACCTCTTGTTGCAGCATTTAGATCACCCCTGATGAAGGCACTAGAAAGGAGTGTCGAAACGTTTGGTCTATGGATTGTAACTTCTCGGTTAAATTCATTAAAACCATTGTAGCATCAAACCATGTCTGAAAGTCATCCTTTTGTTTTACTTTGTTTTGATTTGGTATAATTTATTCTATCTAGCACCAGTTCGTGAGGATTTGCCGGCGAATTAATTACTTGGACAGGTGAAAGACGAGCACTTTATTCTTTTCTTTCTGGTGATCCTAGATTATCGGGATCACTAATTTCTTCAACTTCAGAGGCGATGAGGGGGTCGATCAGCGTTAAATGTCCGAGCGAACGTCTTGCGCTGTCCTCATTCGGTGCAATAGCACTCAACGGTTTGGACGGACTTGGCTGAACAATAGACAGTGGAACAATGCTGTTATCTATGGCCTCTGTATTTGTTTTATCTGACTGGAAAATGCAGTGGAGAGTCGTGGTGAGTCTTTGGACGGAATCGGTGCGATCACTTCACTGGAATCGGTAACGTGTGTCGTCGGCGGCAATGAGCTTGGATGGAATGGCAACTCAAACAACGAATTACAATTTTCTTCAACTGGACTGGACGGGGAACACAAAAATAAAGGGGGGAAATAGCTCGGTAGGCACAGGAACGGAAACTCGTCACGATTTCTTAGTATACTGGACCTCCTTCGGCGGACTTACTTCGGACGTCAAGGATCAAACTCAGTTTGATTCCAATCAAAGTTTATTCAAGTTCATGCCGACAAATGACCTGTAGCGAACTCAACTATGTAATCGCTACACAGTCATTATTGTAGGCGAAAAAGCTTTACAATGTACTTCCTTATGTGCTATTGAGCACGTGGCTCCATTGTTCTCTAAATTTACACTATTTGGATAGCATCACAAAAGAAGCAGAAAACGTCTCTGAGGTTATCGATTCTTCTTAATATTTCATCTTTTGGGAAAGCACTGAGTAAGAAAACGGAGATTAGGCTCACAGCTTCGAAATCAAAACTACATATCTCAGCAAGTAAAAGTGAGAAGTCAATTAAAATTTCTGCTTATTTATGCGATGTGGTTTGAACAAGTGGAAACGAGGAAGATTATCGTATGAAAGAACTAATTTACGCACGCAATTTCAGCGGGCAACTTTCCTGATAAGTAATTACCGGAAAAAAGTTGTGACCAGGAATATTTACTTAACAATGTCTATTTACAGGAGATCAGAGAAGAACCGGAACAAAGGCGCCGAGTACAAAGTGATATGTACCAGTTCGTGGTTGAAAAACACTTACTGTTGGCCTTTCCTTTTCCAAACATTACTTAAAAGAAACTCTAATGAATTGAGGACGGCTAAAATACTGAAAAAGTGATAAATATGCTCCCAAAAAAAATCCCTAAATTGTCCCGTAACAAAATAAAACTAGGCAAATATTCGGTTTATCGATTTAGTGATATTACCTAGACATGAGTCATATTTGGTAACCTCATATAATCTTATAGGAGCGAAAAGGGGAAAAAGCTAAACTTCCCGGAGCGCACTTCAGAAAGTGCTCATAGATTTTAGGCCAACTGAGGTATTAACATTACCACAGGAACTTAATTGACAACATCCGCACTGCATCACTGAAACTGATTTACTGCATGAGAAAATTTGATGTGAGACATTTGTACAATTAAAAAGACCTCTTGAGATAGCTATTAGCGGTAGATTAGCGGACATTTGCAAATCGTGGACACTTAAAATGGGAGCGGCAAACGTTTTAATAATTTAAGACTCAAAAATGTCTCATTCTAAACCCTTTTGCTATGCATGGAATATGTACGACATCTTCGTGAATTCTTGAGTTTAACAGCAAACGATCACCTCGGAAAAGTGGAAGTGCGAAACTGATTTTTAAACCAAATTTGGTACTGGATCAAACTGGACTATGAAAACTTACGTGCAGTTTTAAGCTACACATCAACGAAGAAGTGGATCAAGTACGCCACAGACTTAATTTGAAAATTATTATATTCCAGTCACTCGACAAGATTGATTACCTTTGCAACTTTTGATGCACTTTAAACTCTATCTTGAGTATTTTTATGAAGAAAAAACAGTTGAAATCTATCGAATTCTTAGAGTAATAGCTAAAATCCAACGACTTGACCCATAAGGTTTACTTCATTCACGCAAAGCATTTTAATAGACATGGCCAACTCCTCCAAGGTTAATTTTACAAAATTTACGCAATGCAATACAACAAATGTCTTACTGGAGGATATTACTTGCATCATTACTATCATCATCAACAGCATATCCTGTCCCTTCACAGTTTTGCTCAATGTGCTGGTGGTATTAGCCGTGAAAAGCAGACCACGACTCCGATCTAACAGCAACATCTTATTCGCCTGTTTAGCGGTGACTGACGCATTGACTGGTCTCATAGGCCAGCCAGCGTTTATCCTGTGGAAAATATTTCAATTACTTGGCGACACTACCAGTCATGAGGTTGCAGTTTTCCACAACATTTTCGTCACAGGAGTAATTGTATCGTCATTGCTCATTTTAACATTTGCCAAGTTTGAAAGACTTGTCGCAATCAAATTCACAATGCGCTACTTTAACGTTATTACTGTGAGGAACATTAAGATTTCAGTGACTGTGTTTTGGACCTTCCCTGTCATATATGCACTTATTTATATTTCCAGTACACAACAGGGTTCATTTTTAGGTTATATACCTTTATTCATCATTGTTTCATGTCTCCTTTTCATTTCTATGGCTTACATGATTTTGTATTCTGAAACATGCCGCCACCAATAGAAGATTAAAACTCAACAAATACCAATAGAAGAAATGGAAAGATTTACTAAAGAGAATAAGGCACTTAAGACGACTGCAATTGTGGTTGGAGCTCTAATTTTCTCCTTTCTACCAGTTATTTTGTTTCTTATTTTTCTGCGTGTAAGTGCTTTTGTGTCTTTAGTCTCAATATGGGATCCGTGGATGCGCACGGCTGCTCAGTTAAACTCTCTCTGTAATCCACTGATTTACTGTTGGCGACAAAGGGGAATAAGAGAATTTGTTTTCCGACCGAGAAATCGGTTAGTGCACCCTATTGAGTAATGATAATGGTGGAAAACTCGGAATAATGTGGACGAGAGAAAAGAATGGCAAAAACTCATTGCTTGGAGATACTACGACTGTAGTACATGTACCGTAATAAGTAAATTGGTCACCAGATGTCACCACTTTGCTTGGTGACCGCTTGTGCGGCTTGGTAACCGTTCCTGCTTTTTGAGCCACCGTTTTTTCGTTTTGATCACACGTGTGATTCGTTTAATGTTGTCATCTATGTAATAGTGGACGAAGTTGTTAACTCGAGAATAAAGTGTTTTCCTCGTGAATAACAAAGGAATTCATTTCGTCGAAACTTCTACGGATGCCACAGGTGCTAGATTCGGGGGCAGCCACAGAAGAAATCAGTTTTAAGAACGGAATCACTGACCTTGTTTGAATTAAGTCTTAGGACTGTAGTAAACACTTGAACGCTTAAGGTCTAGTGCTAGCGGGTCATTCTTGTTACTTCCACATACTTATAGGAATGTAAAGCGCCCGTGCGGCTGCATATTTTGTAACTATAGATATTTTAGCTTTCTTTATTCAACACTTTACTTCAACATCACCTAAATGAGGACAGCATGGTATGTTACCCTCGCAAAATGTTTTCCTGTCCCTTTAGAATTCATGAAGACCTACCAATTCTGGGCGCAATAAGCCGCCATTATCCAGAAGAAGAGGGCAGCGAGATGGTAACTACTTGAGTTAGAAGAAACAACTGAAATATTAGACCTATCGTAAATTTAAGAAGTGCAGGAAGCAAAATACTTGATAAGATGAGGATGAAAAGAGTCAACCACGTAACCTATTACGATACAACAACACCGCCCACTACTAACGGTTAAAATTTGTTAATTTTTTTTACTCCTTACGGCTAAATTTTTGGCTGGTTAAGGGCCAACGGTTAACCCCATCGGGACCATGTCAATGGGCGTAGAGTTAGATGTGAAATTATTTTCCTCATAGTTACCTGTATGTAAATCACAATATAAATGAATACGAACGGTAAAAAGCAGTACTAATCGCTAGCTGCCCCACTCCGTTCCCCCTTCTCCCCTGCCCCCATCAACTGCGCTTTAACCGAAGACAATTTTAACAAACCCGTAAGGAAGTGAAAAGAGGAACTTTACCCTGAAAATTTTCCATAAAGTCCGACACAGTTCAACTTTCCCACTTACCGTTTATAAAAAATAAATGAGATGCCTTCTATTTTTAACGATTCCTTTCTCGTCGTCAGATTCGTGAATTTTTTTCAGTGGAGAATGCTCAAGAATAATCGTTGCTGTAATATATTGCTAGTAATATAAACCCACGAGGTCAAACAACATGGCCGCTTCAACACAACTTTATTCCAGCAATGTATTCTGGGTACATACACAGTAACCCTAGAGGGTACTTAATATATTACAATTGCTTACCTTTCGAATTACTTCTCCTCTAACATATTTAGTGATACTCAAGTGGAGTAAGCCAGATCTTTAATTATCGCTGAGTTTTTTTATTTGTATAGCTGTATTTCAGTAACTTCTTGCTTTGCTATATAGGCAAGCGTACGCTGGCCGTTACCAATACACGCGGGACTGTGCAAACCGCAAATCCAAAATGTAAGAAGAATTCCAACTCAAAGCCAGGTAGTTCAGAAGAATTCCAAACCTAAGTATTGCGAACGAGAAACCTCCCAAAATCTAAGGGTTAACCCCTTGGAGTCCCCTATGCCTGCGTCTAGGACCCAGGAAACACTTCACTGAAACGAGAATTGGATCGGGTTGATAACACCTTTTGGAATTCGGGTGAAGCGTAACGATCAATCTTCTTAAACTGATTGCCTGACGAAGACTCGTGAGGCAATTTTTGATATCACTTTTTAATAATAGTAATCATAATCAGCACAATTACTAAGTAAGGCAAACCAGAACTAAGTATCATTATTAAATGAACTGAAATGAAAGCAGGAAGTGCTGAAAGTTTACATTCTTTTCTTTGTTTACATTTTCCTTGTATGGTAAGAAATGATCCTTGCAGGTGAACTACAATTAAAGGATCGCAGAATTGAAGAAACAACGCCTGAAAAAATTAAGGTTTCGACAGGATTCGAACTTATACCTGCTGGAAATAAGTTGAGCACAGCTACCAACTGAGCCCCTTAGCCTCATGCTGGAAGCGAGGCGACGTCCAAAAGGCTCTTCCTTCCTGTATATTGTGATTCTTTTCGTTGTTTGAAAGTTATGATTGTTTGAACACTAACATATTAAGAATGATTTTGATCTCTTATTATTTGCAATATTAATATGGTTTTGGACTTTAAGAAGTTTATCGCTGGCAAAAACAGACTATTAAAATTTTAGTTTTTCTCCTTTATAGTCAAATGTTGTTTTGCATGACTGCTTTACGTTGGTCCTGTAAATTTTAAGTTGCGTTGACTTGGAAGCGACTAGGGAATTATGTGATTACAACGAACGTTTCCATAAAGCTTGGTATATTGAGAGGAACTATACTGACATCATTGCATTTTAAAGAAATTTCGTTGGATTCGACGACGGCAAACTTTTAACCAAGTCAAGATTACTACCTGTAATAATAGAAACAGAGAAAGAAAAGGGCCCTCTTGTGGTTTGAAGCTTTTAGCTTGGTTGTTTTTCCCTTCAAAAGTGAAAGAAAAGATTCAAGTTTGTTGGAGGGGACTTATTTGAAACAAAGGCTCAAAAGACTACTTTATCATTCATGTGCGTTCATTTGCACAAGAAGTTTAGCATCAAGCGACTTCATGTACTAACCCCAGTTTTCTCTCACCTTTTCTTTTCGATCAGGACGTATTGGTCTGACGAAAATGCCGGGGGGGAGGAGGAAAGCTCTGACAGAATTACCTCCCATCTAGGTCGGTATCCATAGTCCTGGTTGCTTCACGCAGCAGAAACGCAGGGACTCTTAGTGTGGGGCATTCTGAGTTCGTGCGCAGGCTGTATCTTACTTACCTTGGTTGATTAGATGAAAGACGATTGACAAAGAGACATTGATTGCGAACAACGTAAGAATATCGCAATAGTATCACAAAAAGCATTTATCTCATTTTTTTGCTGTGCCATTATGCTACTAAAGGGAATTTTTCTTTCGCACCATTTCGAGTTTAGCTTGTGTGCCATGCTCCTTGAGGCTCGTGGCTCTTCACGTGTAACCCTCATCAACCAATGGGTGGTCCAATATTGATATGAACTTGATTAGGCTTGGCACCATGGGGCGTATGCTCGACATCGACAAAATTTTGCTGTCTGGAAGTCTCTGCGAAGCTTGCCATCTTTCACACTTGATGCACACATCCCTTCATCTTCCAATTCCTCTAGTTTAATAGTTTTGTTTATTTTCTCTTTTCATTACACCCATTTTGAGATCACTGGTGGTCCCTGTAATCTGATTGGCTCTAATTGGTGCGATTTATTTACGAATCGCACCAATTTTTGCTTTAAATCGCATCTTTTTCCCAGCCAATAAGCAGGCCACACTAAAAACAAAACAACCGATCAGATTTCAAGGCTTGTTTAAAGCAACCAATCAAATTACAGGAATATGAAAGACAAAGAGTATCATGTGGCAAACTTTGCAACTTTTGTTTCCAAAACTCTTATCTCCCCCACCCCTCCCCACCCCCCCAAAAAATGGATGAATTTAATATCAAACTATCTCAGTACTGCATCAATAAAATATTTGAACTGACCAAGTCCTGTATTTGGTCGATTTCAGCAAATTGTTTCCTCTGCTATCGAGCACCTATACATAACTACACGAGTCAATCGAGTTATGTTAAACTAGTCTTATTATCACGGAGCTGGATGAGGAAAAACGTTATTTTTCTCTTGATTTTAATGCGCTCTGAAAGAGGTGGGGTATCATTGCAAGTTTCTTCTACAAAATCATGACCAGAACGAGATGAAGCCTCGTTTTTATAGAATAAAAAATGTATTATAAAATTCAGTAGAGAGTTTGAACCCGGTTGGAAAACCATCCAGTGGCGAAACTTTTTTGAAAAGCGACAAAAATAATTTTTAGATTTGGCAGACCATGTATGATTTTTGCATAAGCAAAAGCAGTTCCTGTCCTATTGTTACGTTACAATCTTTCAGACATAATTCTACTTGGTGTCTGATTTTTCACGTACTATTTTGAAAAAGAGTGCGAGGGTCGATAAGGTTTCCAAACGCGAGTAAACATTTGAAACCACGAGGCCGCAGGCCGTACGGCTTTATAGTTTTTCAAGCGCTTGGAAACCTAATGAAATCCGAAGCAAAAGGTTTGAAATTACTTCTCCAACAAAGAGAATTAGTAGAAATTATCATTTTAATAAGTTTTCTGAATTCAAATATTTTGTTTGAGACGTGGAATGTGAACCTGTCACCTACTTGCTGCTTGTTAGTCTGCGATATTATTTCATTTGCATTCAATGCCACAATCAATGCCATATTGTTACTGAACTGTTAGTGACTTTTGAGTAAGCATCTTGCTTAGACATCCAAAAATAGTGAAGAAGAGGAAAATTGTGTGGCCAGCGCCATTCCGAAGTCTACCCAAAATAAAAGCAAATGGGCGACTGGGATTTTTGAAGATTGGCGAAGAGCCCGATTTCCCAAAGTAGCAACGTTGGAACCAGGCGGTCTCTTTAAACACTATGATCTGCACAAAGCTCAGTCCTTGGAAGTTCCGTTAGTCCAAATGGATGCTTTAAGCCTTAATTATTGGCTAACAAAGTTTATCCAAGAAGTTGCCAAACCGTCAAGGGAAAGATATCCACCCAAACGTTACACCAGATTGTGTGTGGAATACGTCGTTTCATCGAGGAAAAGAAAGAGAAGTTGGATTTTAATCCTCCCGATGCTTCGGACAAAAGGCGCAGTGGTGTTGCTTTATGAAGCACTTGTCATTATTTATTCTGATATTTTGATAGTCCAGCTTTATTTAGGGTTACCTCTATATTCTTTGTGGGTTTTCTATCTTTCGACGAGTTCTCGGTGCACAGATTCATGTGTCGGTCTTGCGTTATGAATATGTAAACAAGGAAACATTTTACTCATGGGTTTGAAATCTTTTTCAAGCCCTTGTGGTTTTCAACTCGTTTTTCATTGGGTTTCTAAACTCATCCACCTGACCAGAATGAGGTGTTTTAGGTGGGTAACAACGACATGGATAATTAATGAGTTCGAGAAGTTAGCATCTCGCACTCGTTTTGTTTTACTTGTTGTCCGATTGTTGCGTTAGTATCTCTCACACTTTTAGTCTTACTTCAACCAAATCAATCGATAAACTTTATTTATGTGTCTAAAACTTCTAGTCAGCCCGGAGGCCGACTAACTGGGGACACTCCCAATAAAATTACAAATAAATTAAGTTAAGTTAAGTTAAAATTAGCTATCACTTGTTACAATATATATATATATATATCTAGAATTCCATTTATAATTTAAAATACGGACTGAAATATAATAATTTCTACCAATACAACTATATACAAACTTTAAATATGTCTAAAATTCTACAATTCCCTGTAGAGACGCAATTTGAAACTAGATTCGGGAGGTCTTTTCTGTGGATGTTTGAGACGAATGATGTCAAAGTTCGTATTTGTCTCTCGCTATGTCCAAGTTTTGACCACAAATATGATCCGAGATATCTAAGGGAATGTTTGCCATAGTGGACAGAATAGATTCTGGAGATATGAAAATCTGAGTTCCTGAGGTTGTACCCAGCTGGAGTGCCCCTGAATAAATCTACTATGTTCCAAGGCAACAGCCTGTGCTTGACTTTGTACATGAAAATGGCGATATTTTGCAGTCGCATGTTGTATAGAGGGAACGAATTGGCACGTTTCAGTAAGTCTTCGTAAGCGAGGTTCCAGTCACAAAAAACCGCCCTAAGTCCCCTTTCAATTACTCGTTCTAGTTTCTTTTTTTCCGTTGCTTTACAAAAGTGCCAGACAAGGTTACAATCGGTCAGATGGGTGATATCGCTGTTTTATAAATTCGCAGTTTTGCCTCAGTAGGGATGAGTTTTCTGAATCTCATTAGAACGCCTATTAATTTGCTTACTTTTTACAAATTATGGAAATTTGTTTACAGAAGTGTAACTCTTTGTCGATGGTGACGCCCAGTTATTTAAGTCTTTTAAGTAGTATTGATAGTATGGCCATTGATGTCGACAGATGTTAGGGAAGGCTCGTGTTTCTTGCCGATTGCCATGGCTTGGTATTTGCTTGTGTTTCCCACCAAGTGATTTTCCTGGAACCACCATGACATTTGATCCCCTTTGCTCCTAATTGTGTCCATTAAGTCCTTGACATTACTATGCGCGTAATAAAGCTGATGGTCGTCGTCGTACATTGATAGACTTGACGCACGACTCGGGTGAAAGAGGTCATTCTGGTAGATATTCCAGAGTAACGGGCCCAAATTGGATCCTTGGGGACAGCCCAGTTTTATTTCTTTCCATTCACTAACCGCAGTTCCTAATTTAATTCTTCCTTTGCGTTCTTCAAAGAATGAGCGCATCAGTGATAAGGCTCTGGTTTCCGGATCGCGCACGTTTAGTATTGTTTGGTGGTCGATTGTAACATAAGTATCTCGAATTTATTTAGTGTTCTTGTCGTTCTATCGATACGTTAGTAACTTGTGCAATTTCAGTTTTGTTCATTGTCCCATTTTTACATTAGTATCTTCTACACTTTTAATTTTCCTTGTTGTCTGATTGTTACGTGAATATCATGTGCAAATTTCGTTAATATCTCGTGTAATTTTATTCCCTTGGTGTGCGATGGCTTCTTAAGTGTCTCTCTCTTTTCGTTTCCTTTGTGTCTGATTTTTACGTCAGTATCTTGTGCCCTTTTAATTTGTGTCTGATTGTTACATCAGTATCTCGTTAATTTTTTCATATTCCGTCTTGTTCGACTATTACGTAAGTATCATGCGGACTTTTTCTTTCCCTGCTCGCCCAATTGTCACGTTAGTATCTCGTGCCCTTTTTCTTTTCCTTTTTGTCCGATTGTAACGTTAGTATCTCGTGCACTTTTTGTTTTCCCGATTGTCCAATCGTTACGTTACTATCTCGTGGGTTTATGTTTTCTTGTCCGACTGTTACGTAAATATCTCGTGCACTTTTTGTTTTCCTGCTTGTCCAATTGTTTGGTTTTTATCTTGTGCGCCTTTTGTTTTCGTTCCTGTCCAATATTTACTGTTATATCACGTGCACTTTTTGTATTCCTTCTTGTCCAAATGTAATGTTACTATCATATGTACCTTTTCAGAATTCAGTTCGAAAATATCACTCGTAAAGAACTCGTGCTCGTTTCAACATTTTTCAAAATTTTTCTCTTGAAAACTGTAAATGAAAAAGCGATGCTTAGTCTGACACGAATATGAATTTTCAATGAATTTGGTCTTTTCAAGGTCGACCTTACCTTGAGAGACATAAAGACATAAGGGACCAATAATGGCACCCGTTATGATACAAATCGTAACAAACAGTACTAGGGTATGTTATAGTGTACTCTGATCTTCCGAGTGAGTGTAGTCCTGAGAAGGAATGTCGTCGTTAGTGATGACTGACGTTTCGACAACCTGAGCGGAAGTCATCATCAGTTGTTGTCATTCGAATGTTCTAGGTCCGGTTCGTATGAACTGATTGATCACTTTTGCCGTGACGTTATTGGCTAGAAGACTCAAGTGGCTTATGTAGGTCGTGATTAGTTTGTTTTGATCCGCTGGTAAAGTTAATTTGGTATCATCAACTGAGTTGATAACGTAAATTGGCCACCGTTTAGAGTTTTAAAGCCGACGTTTCGAGCGTTAGCCCCCTTGTCAGAGCAGGAAATAGAGCTTCGCTTTTGGTGGGAACATGGTAACGAGAAAACCAAAACTAAACTCATTTACTGAAAAGCGTTAGGGGATTAGGAGTGCCGATTCGAAACGTACATTTTTTTTCTAGAATTTGCAGTTTCCAAACTGCCTAAATGTAGGGAAAGGCCACAATCTGCCATATGCTGCTTAGAATGATTAGGGAGATTGAATTGTCTAGCGAATGGTTTGGATACGTCTTTGTCAATTCTTTCTACGTCGCAAAGGAGTTCTTTGAATCGGTCACCTTGTTGTTTTCCTGTTTCACCATCTGATCGTTTTGTGTGTAGTCAAAGACTTCATGCGGTAAGCGCCGAAGGTCGTGTTTGTTACGTACCCTTGGTTCTTTTGGTTTATTGACTTAAAAACCGCTAAATTTGCTGTCGAAAACGTACACCGATATTTTCGTAACTGAGTGATTAAGCTTGATCTTATAAGTATGTGGTTCTTTTATTAACTCACATTAAGATCTTAGGCGACGTGAGAATTGACGAAGTGTTTAAGTTCCCTGCTTTCCCCTTGACCAAGTCTTAAATATATGACACCTTGCAATTTCAATTTCATTGGAAATTCGGTTAAAAAAAGAAAGGAAAAAAGGAAAAGAAGAAAAAGAAGACGAGCAAAGACAAGAAAAGGATGACGAAGGGGAAAAAGGAGGAAAAAAATACCCTTTATTGTAGATGTAACTTATTCAGTACTAAATGTGTGATCCCCAAACACATCACGTAGTCGTATGTTATGTCCAATAAATGTCTCGCATGTACAACACTTTGGTCACACCTCACGAATACTTTCCGCTTGCCTCACACCATGTGTAAAGGTCGAAAATAGAAATTGTATCTTTTGTGTGTATATGAGCCAGCTTATCTACCTTAGTTGTAAAAATTCCCAGACGAAGTCTGCCATCGTCAGACAATACGCGTAAGAGAATAAAACAAGTTTTTACTATTTCAGTTCGTGTAGTGCTGCTCATTAGTTTCTCATTTAAAGCAAAATTTTAAAAAATCCTTGAAAAAGTTAAACAAAAACTACACCATAATTCGAAAAAAAGCAAAGTAAATGGAAACATCACTGCTTAGCTTTACAGACTGAGTGGCATTCTTATAAATGTTGGTGAATTGACCAACAACTTTTTCATTGGCCAGAATAAACTTTCCTCCTTAATACTCCATAGCATGACCCTTGTTTTCCTAAAAAATAAAATAAAAGAAGTAGCATTTCCGATTGCAGTAAAGACAATACTGTGGGAACAATCTTGTAAGGTTTAAGGAACAATCACAGCTACGTGTAATAGAAGATGGTGAATTTGGTTTATCATTATCATTATTATCATTAATTATTTCTTCTCTTTGTATGTTCCTATTTTCCAAAAAATTTTACACTTCCTTCACGCATATATATATTCATTGTGACATTCTTAGTATTCACTTGGAAATAACCGAAGTTCGGTCGAAACGTCGTGTTTATTTTTATTGTCAAAACACTACTATTTCAAAAATCAAACGTGTTAAAGGAAAGAAAACTAAATCGATTCGTAACTTTTATTTTATTTACCGCAAGGATTAAGTCTCATTTAATGGGGCAGCAGAATGCCTGGACTCTGTGAACTACATGTATTGTACATAGTATGCTGTAGTAATCTACCTAAGAAGAAAAAAGAACCATTCACCTGTTTACTTGAAGCGATAGTGATTTATTATAGTGAAAATGAGTTTGTGACCTCAACCCAGGAATTGACTTCGGGTCCTCAATACATTGTACCTTGATTTTGGCTCATTTTCATTTTTCTTTGATGCATAAAAATGTCAGCTGAAACTGTGATAAATAGCTTTATGATTTTATAATATTTTTACAGATGCAAAGTTCAGTGATGGGTGAAAACAATAATTTTGGGTGCGGTGCACTTTTAACATACCTTTTGCAACAAAGTCACCATTACCGTCAACAGAAATGATTGGTACTATTGCCTTGGATAAACCCTTAATATCTTTTTGTTATAAAAAGGTTTGACTTGGTGACAATTTTAAACACAACTGCAGCAAAAACAGAGTATTTTTCCTATACTGGTAATACCCAATTCATCCTTTCGCTCGACTGCAGGTGGTACAGTTGCTGCCCTTGGGAATGTATTGGGGTGGCAGAACACTTTTCATTATTTTTCATTATGCATTTTCCCAGCTCTGACCCAAATTAGTGATCCTTTCAGTTCATGAATATCCTAATGACTGAAAAAGGGTGACTAAATGTTCTCCAGATGAAGGTCATCTAAATCTGCCTGTAGAAATTACAAAATACATGACATTCACTTCTAAACCCGTTCTCACTGTCTGTCTACGTCTCTCTATGTCTGAGAGTTTTTCATTGATCAATAAGGATGATATTGAGGCTTTAAGATCACAATTGCTTCACAAACACTCTTTATCAGGACTTATTTTACAATACCTAAACAACGTCAACATAATGAAACAATTTGTGAATAATAATAATATAAAGGTAACTATTCCAGAAATGGTGCTGAAGGAGATCTGTTCTCTGTTTTTTTTTAGTTTGTGTTCAGTGAATTTGAAAGTAAACAAGTGTTCCTCAAAGGATAGAGCTATTTGTGCCATAGTTTGTTGTTGTTTTTTTATTTGAAAATGATACTACAGGTAAACGACATAAAATAACTTTGACTGATGTCTTGACCTAAAATGTTTGGAAATAACCTACGCTGATAACTGAAATGACGTTTAAACTTTACGGGAACAATTAAAAAAATAGTAATTTCCAGCGATATACAACAGAACAACGGAACTGAACGCTCGAGCTGTAATCTTCATTTGCAACCATACATGCCTGGAACTAGAGGGTACACAGGAAACCATGCCACGAGCAAAACATGGAACTTCGCATCAATTACATCCACGTTACTTGGGAAAAACTAGGCACCTAGCACTTAGCACTAAGCAAAACTGCGTAGCAACTATCGGGAATGTAATTCCTCACGAATTTCTGGTTGTTCACGGCACCTTCTATGTTTCAGTCTCTTTTAAGGTGAGCGCTCAATTGTGCAATTCGTTTTTAGATCACTGAAAGTTTTATCTCGGTTTCAGTACTTAGTATGCCACTTGAGATCATTTAGAACACTTTGAATCATTGTACTATTACCAACTACTATTTTGGATAGTTTAGCAGGGCTTATACGTTATACTTGGTTATTTTGGACATCAAGCAAGGTTATTTTTATTTTTTGGCCATCTTAAACATCAGTCAAAGTTATTTTAGTTCATTGTGCATATCAGTCAAGGTCATTTTAGGTCATTCCTTGTTTTCGTAACTACGGCGTGTGGACCTCTGGGTACGTAAGTGAACCATCTAAAAATGATTATATTAATCATTTCTATTGATTTTGTCGAATGCCTGTATTGATCATTCTTAGCACGAAATAAACTAAGACCTTCATCACAAGTGACCGAAGTTTTTCGAAAATATTTGAACTCTAGGTTCAAGACCAATTTTATTCAAAATGGCGGCGGAGAAAGGAAAGAATTTACCCGATCTGCAAGAAGCAGAAGCTTTTTTTTAAACGAAACACGCTAACAGAAGGAAAAGAAGATGATGGGCAAATGTTTGTAAATGAAAGTAGCACTGTAGTATTGGTACTTTCTTATAAGTTTTTTTTGCATATTCGGAGTCACGTTACCAGTAACGTTACATGATTCATGGATTTAGAGAGTAAGAAAACTTCCTGTTATGAAACTGATTTTTCGTAAGTAGTTTAGCCGTGAAAAACATAGTGAAAAGTGCAGCCCCGTTTCATAAGTCAGCCTCGTTTTCATGCTTAACAGTGGTTTGTCCAAGAAAACACCCTGTTAACGCAAAACCTGTATGTATCATAATTTGACTTTACAAACTACCTAGTGTTAAACGGTAGGTCTTCTTTTATCAAAATCCACCATCAAACCTTCTCTATCTTGTGGGTTATGCGAAATCTCAATTTTCTAGTCCTGCAGCTGGCTTCTTGGTTATTAGTCTCTTTCTCAGTCGTTCTTAGTATGTCACGCAACGCTCTCTGTTCGGGAAGGGAAGCGTTGCGTGACATCCTAAAGAACGGCTGCGAAGAAGACTAGGTCCCCACTGGCACACAAGCACAAGGATAGGCATAGGCATGGATCCAGTAAGTATTTCTTTGAGAAAGCCGGTGGGAGGGGTGGTGGGTCAGAAGTTCCAGAGTTAAGATTCCAGTGTTGAGTCTATACCTCATCTAGAACAAATACTGAGGCTGATTGGTCGATGGAATTTTTCGTCTCGGTTCCGCCATGTTTGTTATGAATATTTAAAATTACGTTTTATTCTTTGCGTTGCCTGTAGCAACCTGAGCACGGTATTATGGCGCTCGTAAACTATTCATCCACACGTTATGATTAGCCACTTCTGGCGTACACCACATCTGAAAAACCATTGATGCCATGGCGATAAGAGTGGAATTGGATCAACTGCTGAATCTTTCCTTGGGCACTCCCGAACTCGGAGCAGTAAACTTCAACATTCTTCATGGAGTAATACGAGAGATTCTCAATCATTTAGGTATTGAAAAGAAGGCAAAAGATATCGTAGATAATGGGCATTTTAAAGCGGCATTTGCACTGCTTAAAACCAGTCAAGAAAGTTTTCAAAGTGGAGAAAAAGGCGAAGATGTCGAATGCTCTACTGGAGAGAGAGGAAATACCGATAAAACACCTTTCCCCGTTGCTGTATCATCTCTACCATTTCAGAATAATTTGGAGTCTAAAGTAGCAAGTATCGAAAAAAGGTTGGACGTATTGGACGATTTGCCAAGTGACGCCGAAATTCTTCAACGTGCTAAGCAAAAGAAGGAAGGTAGAACGCCCGTCGGTGATATGTGGCAGTTTATAAACATAAACAGAAGACTCGGTGCCACCGAAACTGGCATTGAAAAGGTGAGTAGCATTATTGACTTACAGCTTGGGCTTTGAACTGTGAAATCTGTCAGTAATTAAGGGTTTCCGAACTACTGTTAAGTGTTTTGTTATTCCACAAATCAATTTTATTACTCCTAATATAATCACGCGAACTCCTTGAAGTGAACTTTTTCTAAGTCGGATGGGTGTACTAAAGATGTAGCGTAGTCACCTGATCAAGTTAGAAATGATTTGTTTACATAACCATTCGTACACATAGAATCATTTATAATTGATAATGCAAACTTTACGGGGGTTAATAATTAAGCAAAATCGTACAGTCTTTGCAAGTGAAATTAAGGAAAATGTTTCTTCTGATCGATCTTAATATGAAAATACGAAACGATCATTAACCATACTTTTGGGTCGTCGTGTTTTATGCTATCAGTGCAGGGTAACCACCTCGGAGAAAGGAAATTGAAATGCATTTGTATGTAATGTTAACATAATGGAAAGTCTGAAACTTCTTAGAATTAATACGTAGTTTTTTAAAGTGATACAGTTGTTTTTCATTTGTCATCACAAAATGTATTCAGTCAAGTGGAGTGGTTAATTGAGGTTTGTTACTTTAGCAAGGGTTTAAGAGAGAGTTTTATATTGAACTTTTTATTTACAAAACTGAAAAGTATTAATTCTTATCAAACATTTGGTCCTATCTGCTTCTCATTATATCAAAGCTTCTATTATTATTCATGTTGTTATTGAAATATTATCTATTGTTTATAATTTTAGCTGTGGTTTTCAATCAGGTGAATGTGAAAAAATATGAATCATGGGCAATTAAGTCTATAAAAATAGTGAGCAGTTTTCAGTTCTATGTTATTAGAACAGAATTAGTGAGATTATTGTCAATGACATCAATAACAAGGATTGACTGAAAAGATGAATGGACTGCATTATAGTAATTCAGTGGCCCTTTGAAATTCCAAAGTATTAAGGAGTGTTGGAAGGAAACCAAAACAAAGGTGACAAGATATAAACATAGTATGTCTAAGTTTTCATTTCATGTTAACCAGTTTTTAGGATTCACAGGGAAGGAACACTAATAAACACTGAAAAGTTGATTTAGTTTTCTTTTTTATGTCTTGAGTAAAAATTGTTGTACTGTTTCATGAACTGTGGAACACAGTCAAGCTAATTTTTTCAAAAGGGTGTTCTTTTTTTCTTTAAATTACCCTCATAATAACCTTTCCACACTGATGACCTCTCCTTCGTGATAAAAAAAATAAGATCTTATATTTTTTACATCCTTAAACCCATCCATTATTGGAAAGTTCTATGGCTGTAACACAAATTCTCAGGCTAAACTTTTTACTCTGGGGTATATTTTCTATTCATGGTGCCATTATGTAATATGTTCTTTTGATACTTTGCTTTACTCACTTATTAACACCCTTTCTTATGTAAACACTAACTGTTATTAATTGATTATATTCTATTATGTTGAAGCTTTTATTTATTTATTTTTATCATAAACTGCAACTAATCATAGACACAACCTGAACAAATAGACATTTCTTTGATAGCTTACCAGCCTTCTAGACACTATGATGAAAGAAGTGAGTGAAGTCAAGGAAACTGCAGCAGAAATTGATGATTTAAAGAACAAGTTAGCAGAGGTATGATTGGATTTTTTTGTTTAACAGTAATGTTTTAATTGACACAATGTTACTCTAATTGGAACCTTGAATGTATGATAATTATTTCAAACTCAGCAATAGAGAGGCTTGACTTGAGTACCTGAGAGTCCCCTAAATGGCTGTATATTGGAATATACAATGACTGCCTTGTTTTCAGTTAGTTTTCCCTGACATTGACTCTGAATTGAATAACTGTACTGGCTCAGGTTGTTTTTTGAAACTAATGAGGCCAGCTATGTATTACATTCCAGATGTGAGTATTTTTTATACACTTCTTTATGTACAAATTAAGGCTTCACCATTAAATATGCACTGTGTATATGTTGTAGTTGAAATTGATTCCAGATTACTCGTAGTATGATTTTGAGCCGGTAAATTATTTGATGATGGTGATTTAACTAGAACAAAGGAAAAACAAAAAAACTGCAGGTAGTGTGAAATGATTTTGACTTGAAAATCAGCTATTCAAACCACAACATGTACATGTATGCTGTTCAATTTTGGTATTTAATGCTTGCAATTTAAAAATGGAGGTAAAATGTAAGTTGGCTCTCCTTTAGTAAGTTAATTTGTCATGTGAGCTAAAACGTACAATCATGTAACTTGTTTCTTTAAAATTTGTTTTTGTTTTTGTTGCATTAAATGTGGAATCATTTTTCTATCTGTTAAGTAAATTGCCTTTGGATTCAGCTAATCAAGCACTCATTTACCCAATTGGTTTCTCATCAGAAAGCTAACAAACCCTTATTTGTGACATTTTTTTTGGCCATTTTTGAGTGTAGTTGGAGAAACTGAATTCAAGTTTAAGTGAAAGAATTTCAGCATTGGAGAGTGTAGGTAAGGAAAATATTCACCAGATGTTTTTCATGTTCCTTAGTCTTTCTGACTGTTAACTTTTATCCTTTTATGACAATTAAACACACAGATGTTATTATTCTACTTCGATAGAAGGTCATCAGAAATTTTAAATTTAATGATTCATGTTTTGTTTCTTACTGCATTTTGCAGACAACTCTGAAGAAAGAAAGAAAATGGAAGATTTGCTGAAGGAGATGGTAAGGAAACCCATAGTTAAGAATGATCACCCTGTTTCATAGCAGGACAGTTTTGGGACAATTAACAGTCCACTTATCTTACATTATTCTCTGTACTTGGTACAAACCATTATCAAAAGAAAGTTAAAATCAAGTAAATTAAATATACTACATGTAAGTGCATGTACCTAATCTTCATGTGCTTAAATGCAATGGGATAACCTAAGTATTTTAGCTACTGTCAAACTTTGATTATCTGAACTTGTGGGGACTCAGGGCTGAATAGTCTCGGTAATCAAGAGTCTGAATAATAGTTTGTTTTAAAGTTGCGTGCTTGGTTGCTAAACCTTTGAACAGGAGTGAGACTAGGGTTGACCCTGCTATGATACAAACCTTGCTGCTTTTCAAATGCAAATTATGTTGTTATCATGGTAACTAGATACTGGTCTCTATCACAACATGGTCACCTTCAGCCTCACTCCAACTCAAAGACGTTGCAACTAAGTACACAACTGTGAAATGGCATATTGAAACTATGTATATTAGTGAGCCAACAATAAAACTGAATACAAATCATTCAATCAATGTCACATAACAATTAAGGAATGGTCTCAAATTGTCATGCATCATTGTCAAAATTTTCCCAAAGCATTTACAAAATTAATATGTTTTATGACAATGTTTCTCAACTTAAAATGCTGATGTAGATGAGTTTGTTTCAAGCTGCTACAGCATGTGCTGGTAGCTAATTCTATCACTCTTTGCGAAAGCGGCATTAATAGAATAGCATCAACAATGTTTCAGTACACCCACTTTGTTAGACCTGTTTTTAGTTGTCTATTTATTCATACATTTATGTACATTTTAAAAAACTATGTATGGAGTGAACTTAAATTCTATTTTTAGAGGTTACCCAAAGGAAATTATTAATTTGGTTGTTGTAATTTGGACTCATTCCCTTTCTATGCAGTGTACCCTTGCAATGCAATAGTGTAAATACAGTGCTTTAACATATATTACCTACCATATTTGTTCATGAAAACATTTGGCTTTCAGGAACACCTGAAGAAACAAGTAGATGGACTTCCCACTATGGATGATCTCAACAATCTGGATATTTATGTCAAATGGCCACAGCTTGAAGAAGCCTTAAATGCAAGGAGGAGTCGCACTCCATCTGCAAAGTCCAGAGTTTCAACCCCTAAACCAAGAACCCCCACTCCACCACCACCAAGAACGCCCAGTCCTCCTCACCCTTCCCCTGAGGCACTGGAAGCATTAAGGCAAATAGGGGAGCTAATGGATAAACATGAAGTTCTTATTGAACAAGTGGATGTTCTAGAGGTATAGTAGAAAATGTTCTTTTATGAAGATTTTATACAGTCATACACTGTACATGTCGCATATGTTAGTTAGACAGGTGTAACATCCTGATTAAAATTATTTTAATTGATTTTTACACTTGATAATTTATTTGTTATCTTAAGATGTACAATGTCATTATTTATTATTACACCTGTGTGCGATAAACAAGGGTTTTAATAACTTTTCCATAAGGCAATCTATGTTGTAATAGTACCTGGTGTTTATTGAACCCCCCTGAAGAAATTTTCATCCATTTGGTGGTCAGGCTCTCCGTTAACCTGTTGAAAAAGTGTGAGGAACCAATTTATCTTTTCAGCATTAGATTTCATGTGTAGTGTCACCTGACTTTTGATGTTAACAAACCACAAAAGTTCAGACATTGAGTCAATCACCCACTACCTTGAATTTGAGCTTCAGCATTTTGTCTTAAATAATTTCCCACAGTTGGGAAGCATTTCTAAACTATAAAATTGACTTCTTTGATTTATCATATGTTTGATTATTTATCAACCTAGTTCTTATTTTGCTACCACTAAAGTAGATGTAAATGCCCTCAAAATACCTGATCAGATACATCACTTTATGCATGCATATGGTGATGTACTGTATCTGAACTAGTTTGATTATTCCATGCCAGAAAGAATTCAACATGTTCAGCAAATTGTTTAGACCTGTTGAGTGAATCAGTTGTCACCTCAAAAATGAAAACAATATAAAGTGACTATGAAAGACATATGGTAAAACCTCTTTAAGTGTCCATTTATGATACAGGTTTTGGTTCACAAAAGTGCCAAATTTTTGTAACGGCTGAATTAAGGTTCATTTTACAATGAGTACATTGTATCTGGAGGAATGACATTGGGACTGTCTTTGGTGTCCTTTTGGTAAAGGTATCTACTTACTAGGTAGATATAGTAGACAGTGCTGTGCTTGACACATGTTTTGCTACATACATATAACCAAAATAAACTTAAACATGCATGTGTCTTTGCAGTCATTTTGTTAATTTGTAAAACTTCTTTGTAGGAACAAATGCCTAAAAAGGCTAACCTTGAGGATTTGGATGAACTGAGAAAAAGACCTGGTAAGATTGGCCAGCAATCTCTGATAGCCAGCAGGATACATGTACAGCATCAGATAGATTACATGTAAAAGCAACCCAAGAACAAATCAAAGAGCTACTATCTGTTTTGTACATTTTACAAAATTTAGCTACATGGTGTGATTATTTTTCTAATACAATCTTTGTTTGTGTTTGGTATATCCTTGCTGTTGGTAATTGTGTACCCTGACAAACTATTTTTAAAGGGATAGTTTGCTCCTAAGACCATGTAATTTTTATCTCAACCATTAAGAAGTGTGTATAAAACATTACAACTTATTGTGATTTGAGATTCCACCAGGTAACCCAACCATCTAAAATATGTATTCAAATATGTCCTTAATTTTTTCATGATAATTGTTGTCATTCTGAGAACAACTTAGCAACCTGCAAAACCACATGGCCATGTTGCCAGATGAGATGTGATATGGTGGTGTATGTAAAGTTTAAGTTAATTTTTTTCCAATTTGATGACAATAGTAGAAATGCTAAGTTATTCTTAGGAGGCATAGAAAAATTAGACATGGTTTGATGCTACTCTGGTTTAAAGATTTAATGAATGTCATTGAGAAGTTACAACTCATAGATCCAACTCCAACCCACTCCTTTCTAGTGCCTTTATCAGGTGTGATCTAATTGCTGCAACAAGAGGTCCTTTTATATTGCTCACTAATTTGCTGCCTTTTTTCCTGACGATGTGTAAATAGGTGTCAGGTAGTGAGCTTCCATCATCATGATTTAAAGTAGTTTGGAGGGAGTTGATATGCTAGGCTTCCAAACAAAGGCACTGGTGGTTATGTCAATTAGTGGTGATAATTTTAGACTTATCCCATGCAATTGTATGGTTAGTTAGGCATGTGTGCTGCAACGAAACTGAATTTTCTTTTTTGCAAAAGAAGACCGCTTTTTGATGCTCTTTCAAATGTGTACCAAACCGATGTTTGGTCAGTCTGATATACTTGTGATCACAGTCATTGCATGGAATAGAATAAACAGTGTTGGTCCATTGTTCTTTTGTGACAGGACCCTTAGCGTTAGCAAAAATATGCCCTACAGTCTGAAAAGGTTTTTGAGCAACTTTAACGTTGTGGCTATTCAAAATTCTCTTGATGGGTTCTGTAACACCCCAAATGTAAGGAATAACAGCAAAACCAGTAGTGTTACTGGTTTCTGGCCGTTATGGAAAAAAGTTTTGGTATAGCCCTTTACCTATAGGATATCCAAAACTTATATTTCCATCTGGTTGCCTTAGGAACTTTAATATATCTAATGAAGGAAAGTTTTATCTGGATTACACCACATACTTTTGTTTAGGGGAAGTATTCAACTTTGAATTACCCCTAAAAACAATTATAAAGATTTTAACATAGCTGCTTTTGACACCCATTAGTTCGATCAGGTAATGTTTGTTTTTCTCCTTAACCCTAGATGTTCCAGATGATATTATGGATCAACTGAAGCTGTTGAAAGATGGACTTGATGCTATAAATAAATGGAAAGAGGAGGTAAATTTGCCTGTAGTTTGACCAAGGGCTGGGTAAATTATTGAATGCTGGAAATCCAATGCATTGAGAAGCTTTTACTTGAAGGGAAGATAAGATTTCCCTTGAAGGTCATTTCCTTTAACTTTGTGGCTGTTGCAGCAGTTGTTGATGTTTTCTTTTTTGTGTGTGTGTTATTGTTGTACTCTGTTTTCCATTGTAAACGTCAACATGATCATGATAAAGGAGATAAACTTAAACTTTAAACAGGAATGTAAAACAAGGTCAACTATGAGTTTCAGCTGATCTGTTTTTTTTTTAATTAAAAGTGATACAGTGTAAACTGTATTTTGATATAATCATATAGCTAATCAGTTTAAATCAGGTAACTCTCTATTGCCTAGGCATATTATTGAAAAACAGTATGTTTTTCATCTTCCTGGTGTGGGCATAAATACAGCTTTTTCTCTGCCAAGTATGGCAGTTTGTTAATCAAACAACTGAGGTTTGACTTTTATGTGTTTTCTTACCCATTGAAACTGATAATTATTTTAAGAAAACCATTCCAGCTGACCTGGAATCCCAATTAGCATCTCTGAGGGAAGGACTGTCATTACTCAATGATAACAAGCAACAGGTGAAATGAGAGGCTTCTAATCTAATATCAACTGACTTCACTCTGTAAACAAAATAAATGATTTAATATAATTATAATGTTGTGACTTCAGGTGTTAACTCCTCATATGCTAAATGTTGAAATAAGTATTTTACATGATTCAATTGATTTTAATCTGGTATACTACTATAAATGACACTGTTAACCTTAGAGACCAACCAAAATTTGGTGAAAAGTGAAAAGTGAAATATGATAGCAGTTGCTCGGAAAGTATTGGTTCTATCTTTGCAGCCATATAAAATATTTTTTGCCTAAATTTCCAAGAAAAAGTTTTCAGAATGTTTTGTGCCACTGTGCTGTAAACATGGAATCACATTGTTTTAAAATTACAAAACAGACTTGTATTGACATCTTATAAAATTTTACAAGATTGAAAGCATGAAAGAACAGCTCCAGAGTCTAAAGAAAGTGTCTGATATGCTGAGCTACCACAACGAAAAGGTAATGAAGTAAATTAGTGCTTAATAGTATCCAACAAACAAATTTAATACAATGTACCAGTGAATACTCTATTTGATAGTGGACACTTTCTTGGCAAAATTTGGAATCGATCTCGCGTTGTCTCCCAGATTATTAAGAGGCAAAAAGAAGTCAAGTGGTGGTTAAATTGCAAATAGGTCAGCGGGCCAATAAACCGATTAAAGTGGGGTCTATTCCTTCAATAGTTGTGTTATTAGAATATTTAAATGACTTTTTTCACATCCTCTGGTTTCTTTACTAAGATAAAAGAGTTTATCCTGAACAACGTGTACAGCATTATTATGGTATTATATGTCTGTGAAATAACCATGTTGTGTTGCCGAATGTTTAAGCTTCAAATGATCCCTGATGATTTATTGGACCAACTTAATAAGCTTAAATACTTGGAAAAGACAATCACTCAAATGAAAGAGTTTAACGATCAGGTAAATTGTTCTTTATTTTAATGTAATGGAAGCCTGTCATGAATAATTATAACATGAAACTTAATATCCTTCTCCTCTTTTGAATTAAATATCTGAGAAGGAGGTCCTAGGTTTGTTAATAATGTAAGAGATAAGAGTGTGATCGTAAAGCCATAATGGTTTAAACAATTCAAAGATAACGACGAGAACTAGAAACTGAAGTGATGTTTAGTGGCTTGTTGAAGCCTCCCCGTAATATTTACTTATGTAAAAAACGTGATAAACCTTATCAATTGTCTCTGAAATTAAAAATTGTATATGCCATTCTTAAAAAAAGTTACCGTCAAGACTGCAACGTATTGAAGATCGTCTAAAAGAAGATACCGAACGCGAAATCAGAACTTTAAGAGATGGTCTCCGCCTTCTTAACAACCAGTTAGAAAAGGTTGGTGTAGAAACATCTTAAAACATCCTCCTGAAAAACTCTTCGGTTATTTAAAAACTGATATTTAAAGAAATCTTGAAGAAATGATAGATATGAACCTTCGTACCTAAAGGAATACAGCTATTTATCAGCCTCTAATATTTTGAATTCATTGACTTCACAAACCTTCGGAAAAGATCATGATGCTCATATTCAAGATAAGACACCTTGGAATTTACTTGAAATTTTCTCGTATTTAGGCTCCTTGCTAAGTTGGGATAAGGTAAACAAATTAAAAACGCTAATACTGAAAGGGTAAATTCACATATTTTTGTATTGGTATAAAATAATTGATAAGATTTTTCGTAAGATGTAGGACAGCAAATTAAAATCTGCATTGAATTTTGTTGTTAAAGTACAAGAAGATGAGAGAAACAATACCAAATAGTGCGTCCTCTGGGAAAGGAAAGGTAACAGCTCTACCACACACAAACACAAACTAAAATAAACAGTAGAAACTAAGTTTAAAGCGTTTAACAGCAAACACAGAATAGCCAATAAGTAAACTACCGTACAATACGTGACATTTATTAAAGGAGATATGGTTTTCTTTTCAATTTTTCTTACTTTAAATTCGTAATGAGTGTAAAGATTAAGAGCATAAAATGTTTAGTCGTTAAAACGCACTAGTCTATACACTTGCCAAACGAAGTATTATTGTGCAGCCGACCATGGTTCCCCCATTCCTCTCACTTATTTTATCCATACGAACTCTGCTTATTTGCCAAAAGGATGTTCATCTTGAGGTAAGGTCAGTTGCATCTTGAGGTCAATTCCGGCTTTGAATGAGATGTTGACGTCACTAACAACTCTAGCGTGCAGAGGTCCGGTTGTAAACGTTGACTGGTTTCTTTGTGTTGTTTTATGGGGTAAGTTGTAGATCCATGTACTCTCTCAGTCAAGGAATCTTGAGAAAAGGCTGGAGGTTAAAATGCCATGTACAGTTATCCTATGAAGAGGGAGCAGTAATAATTTAGTTGCGTATTTCAGTTGTATGGTCCACTTGGCTTGTCTGATTCCTGCTTTTCTTAATTTCTTTGTGTGTGTGTGCTTTGCAGGATGGTGATGCGCTCAGTGCTTTAAGGAGCATGCTTACTGAACTACAAGGAGAACAGGAAAAACTAAACAGTACAACTAAAGAACTTATAGAGGAACATAACAGGAAACAGAAACATATTGACGTGAGTTGCAGCAACCCCAACGCCCTGAACTTAAGAAAAAAAAGGAACATGTTTAGTTATTTTAACAAACTTTTTAACCGGACTTGGAGTGTCTGAGGTTCATCAGTGGAGTATCAGTGGTATCTCTCAACGCTTCTCTGTTTTACTTTCCTCTCCTTGTCAAGTTTAAACTCTATTTACTGATGTTTGTATTTAACAGGCCTTGTACACGTATGCTGACAGACTGCAAGAGGTCAAAGCTGACAAAGAACAGGTTGCAATGGAAATGGATGTGGTATGAAGACCCTTTCTCGTGATATCAGTTTGTTAATTGTTTGTTGAATTGTGTGGCAACAGGCGTCTCTTTCAGGGAGGTTTTACTTACCAGAGCGTGGAGCAGCAAGCCTAAAAAATTACTTAACATTATTATTCAGTTTTTTAACTTATACATGATTTTCCAGCTAGCGTTCAGTTACCGTTGTTGATGAAAATAAGGATGTTATGTGTTACTAGATATTCAACTAAGGTTTTGAATATACTTTTACAGAAAGCTGATAAACGTGCATTGGATAACTTGATTAGTCGGAGCAAATTTGACCAGAGTATAGGTGGTTTGGAACAGTCAATGCAGGAGCTTTTACATCGATTAGATGGACAGGTGGGTTCTACAAGACACAAATTTCTGTACCACCTAAGATTCAACTTGTTCATTGACTCGCCATTTATCCTTTCCAGTTCACTGCTTATAAGTGAAAACCTAGATATAGTCTGGAAATACCATCAAACAAATCTTTAAAAAAATTTGAAACCTCGGGATATAGCAATATATTATTGGGGAACTTTGGAGTATTTTCATTACTGAGTGTCTTACATTTTGTAGGAATCATCATTAAGCGATGCCTTAGCTCGACTTGCAGGCGACATTGATCAGAAACTTGATAGATTGGAGCTGGATCCACTGAAGGATTACTTCGGTAAGAAGTGACTTCCCCGTGCAGTCACAGAATATTTTACCTGCTCTCAACTGAAATGTTTTATTCCTCCTCTATTTTCTTAGAAAAGAAGATTAAAAACATGAAGTGTAAACACGTTGACTTACCTTTATCCGATGATCCAGCTGCTGGATTCCGCAAGTAAGTTACTGTAGTTCAGAGTCCATGGCATAATTTTTCACCAAAATTCTAAGTCAACAATTCTGATATCCTATCCGTGTGCATTATTTGATATGTTCGGGTTGGTTTTACTCACGATGACTTTGTTCTACAGGGCTTTGCTTAGATTTCACTGTATTTCCTGTGACAGACCTGTTGACATGATACCTGGCCAGTAAGTGACGGTTTGTTTTTTGTTATTTGAATTATTTTCGTTAGTTAATAAGAGTGAGAGGTAAATCCGAAAAAAGTAATATGAAATAGTCAGTTGGTTTGTAACACTTACCTGCACTTGAAAGTGACGAGGGTATGTAGACAACGAGGGGCTAACCTTTCTATGTTCGTCCCGCTGTTACCGGTTTTATTTCTGACTAAAGCTGCTTTTACCTTTAGCCCCAATCCAGCTCTTCCCCAGACTCCTGGTCTTCCTCCATCCCGTTCAGGCCGCCCTTACACTACTTTTGAACTTGATCAGATACGTCAGATGCATCGAGGGTAAGTGCACATATCGGTGTGGTAAATAATGTTTGTCTTAGCGACACTGAGGATAACATGTGGTTGGATGGAAGTGCAGTTGTTTCGTGATTGCCACAGAAGGTGAACCTGCAGTTTTTCGTCGAAAAGGTGAAAATTTCTAAGTGACCGTTTCCTTTATTTTGAGGGAAGGAGACTGCATAACTTGTAAAAACAACAGTGGCAAGTCTTCCAATGTGGTTCGATAATTTGGCGGGTTTACTGGTTGACCAAGTGAATCCATTTGAATGTATGCGGTATTTATGGACTCAAATTTGTGCAGAATGACTGATATCCGTACTTTATCCACAATTGTAGCGAATCTTTTAACGTAAACTTGAAATCTGTCATTCAACACCTTTGACTCGATAGACAAATTTAGACTCATCTCATTGCTTCATCATCAAAATAGTTTTAACAATCAACTTTTACATTCTCGAAACCAGAACATTGCTTTGTATTTCAATCAAATAGTGTTATACATTGAAATGATACAAGACGACTGCTTCTTTTTTTATCAGGCGAATTGTAATCCTATGATAGTTGGGGGCCTTGTCTTTTTATTTAGGAGCCATCTACTGAATCATAAGAGAGGGGGGGGAAGGTGTTGTAGCGCTGTTTGACTGCTCGATCATGTAGTTTTCTAGTCACTAAAAGACGTAACTTTATTTAGCGAGGGTAGACACTTTACAGTCACAGACTGACAAACCCTTGGCCCCTCCCTGGATTACATGAATTGGTAAAGTTAACATATAATTAAAAACACCACAAGTCCATTCCAATCTATCATTTACTCCGTAAATGCGTTCCATTAACCAGCAAAGTATTTAGTTGGTTTTGTAACTGTAACACCAATATTTGTACACAGTGGGTACACTTACGAGCAAGAAGTAGCCACAACAACAGCTCGAGCATGTGGAGGAAGTCATACAGTGACCTTTCCACACAGAAGGACGGCCAGATTCAAGTGAGTTTCTTACGAGCTCCCTTCTGGTGCATCTTGAATTGTTTTTCATGGATTTGTATTCAAAGTTTATTTATATCAGTGTCCATTTCGTCAGTTGTATATGTAAGCTGCTCAAAACAAAATGGCGTGGGGTAGAATAAAGTTGTGTCGGTTTAAGACAAAAGAAAACCGGTTTTTAATTGTTATTGCTTTCAGCCAATACTATTACTACAGGGAAGATGACACACCAGTGCCAATTCCTCCGAGGTAAGAGAAATGCTTTTCAAAGAAGCATATTTAGATCCATCTTAAAGTGATTATTTCTGTTTAGTATGTTGTGTTTGCAGTGCGAATCAACAAGGTTGAACGTCTTCTTCATTTTAAGGGATGAAACAGAGCTGATTGGTCAGGATGGACATATCTACAAAGGACGTTTTGATGGAAACATGGTTGGAGTGGCTGAGTTGCCACCGGTTTGTGAATTTTGTTGTCATAAAAAGTTCTGTAGAAAAGGTTAACTGATCAATCATTTTCTTTCTTCTGATAATCAAGCGAAATAACCTAACGTGGTCAGAAAGGATGAGTTTCTCTTTTCTCATCTGCCAATGAATGAAACTTTTGTTGTCTCCAATTTGGTGGTTAATTGTACTTGATCAATAACAACACTCTCGACCCTGACTGCCACCAATCAGCCCTTTATTGTAGGTTAATTGGCTCTTGCAAGACCAACTGTCCGATTTGACTTGTTTTAGTTTGTTTTTTTTTCTGTCATAAACAGCTTGTAAACGTGCTGGTCGAACAGCTCAACAGCTAATAAAAACAACTAGGCTAATGCCGCCAGCCAATTAGATTTAACCACCTGTCAGTGATAATGCATAGATACTAAGGAAACATTTTGAGAAAGCCCTGTGCTCAGTACTTTTTCCTCTCAGCAGAACCCTAAGTCTCCAAGAGCCATGTCGGCGAAAAGAGCTTCTAGTCCCCAGCCTCCTCGCAATGGCAGTCCAATTACTAGGCGTCCTCGGTCTGCTGCGGTGCCAACTTCACCAAGGAACCAAAAGGAGGAGGAGGTGGAGCCTGCGAGGGTTGTTGTACCGTGAAAACAAGATGGAAACTCTATGTTATTAATATAAATTGCGATATTTAATTCAAAGACGGGACGGAGGATTTGTACACAGAAACCAAGTCTTAGCCTGTCAACGTGATCGGCTTTTTGATTTTATGAAAATTTTGATTAAGTCTTCAACAACAAAGAAAAACGAAAAGGTATTCGACCAGCTGTATGTATTGTTATAGATCTATTTATAACAAAGTGAATTACATTGTGTATTGCGGAACGGATCTGTTCTCAGCTGAAAGAATAGTGACGAGCGTTAAAGCAGTTCTTTTCCCTTTCATCAAAAGACATACGTAGTAGTTAATAAGTTATTTGTATTGGGTAGTCAGTATGAGAAGATGCCGCATGAACAATATTCGCACTCAATCCAAACACATGTGATCATTGTTTAAATCTCAATGAAGTTGCGTTTTCAAATATGATGTAAATAAAGAAGCACCGACTAAAATAAAGAAAATTAAAAAAAAACGAATTTCAAAAGTACGCTATTTTGTCCCATCTCCTGAAAGTCCTGAATTCAACCGAAATTCAACCGAATTTCAGTTGTCTTCTTTCGATTCTTCTCTGACCAGATTCTTCTCTTGTCAGGGCAAAGTGAAAACCGACAAAACACGTCAAGCACAGTAATCAATCATGTGATTGTACTGAATAAACCTAGCAATACTGACATTTCGTAATAGGCTCAGTGTTTTGTGGTTCTATGGTTTATTTTACAACTGCTTAATATGAGGATTCTATCGTTAAAGGGGTCGTTGAAGGTTCTGAAACCTAGATATTATTTCCCTGCGAAAGCTTCTTACCGACTAATTTTTTCGATAAAAGATAAAAAATACGAAACTCTCTTTTGAAAAAGTAAATTGAATACGTTTATATTAACTAGAACAGTTTCTGGTTTTTGTTACGTATGTCAACCCAGGAATTTAGTATAAAACTCGACTGATAAGTTACATTATCTAGCGGAGAACTGTTGATAAATCTGCCACCTTGTTCATAATTTATTCATGTCAAACTGACTTGGGGATGTCAAGGTATTGGTGCTATTGTTGATTTTTGCTAATTAATTCTGTAACAAGTCGTTTCTAATGCACGGAGATGCTTTTAAGAAGAGTGTTTAAGTTACAGAGGAATGAAGGGATTACTTTGTGGTGAGTATTTGTTTCTTACTAGTTCTTTCTGGCAGATCGGTTACGCTGGCGACTGGCAAAGTCAGCGTTTTACCAAGTACGAAGGGCTAACGCTCGAAGCGTCAGCTTTGAAACTCTTTACGGTAGCCAATTAGCGTTATTAACTCCGTTGATAATATCAAATTACCCTGTTTCACCAAGCACCACTGGTTCAAATACCGGTGTTACACATTCATAGGCAATGCGACGACCATAACTAATTTTTTTACTTGATGTTGAATGACTGTTAATTTAAGTGATTTTGGACATAGCTTCACTGCATCAAGACCACACTTAACTAATGTAAATTGTGTGATCCACTTTATTTATTATTTTTTTTTGTCTATTTCTGCCACATATCTCTCCAAACTTAGTCAGCGATCATCTGGCTCTTTCCCGAGGATAGCCGCCTACGCAAATTCCGGGTTACTCGCTGGATTGGGTTACAACTCGCCTCCACGAAGATTTACTCACACTAGTACTGTTTCGTGGACCATTGACGGCTTTAGTGTACAAGCGGGTGCCGCTTAGAATCTTTTTGACTGCTCTTTGTACACTTTCCTTTTTTTCCTCCGAGATTATATCAGAAGTGTTGTCGCTTTCCATAACTGTGTCATTATGATTTGATTCACCGTTGATCTTGCTTATGTAATTCACATTTCTTGTAACTTCATCCGACGCTACTACGTCTTTATTCTCCTTAGCAGGCGTAGAAGAAACCGTCTTTTGTGACACTCCATTTTGTTGTGCTGATCTCTGCGCGCCAATAATTCTTGGCGCTGAAAACTTCACAATATTCACGTCTGCCGTCACTCTAGTTGCGTTAAGCTTTTCAGGAAGCCTTCCATTTCTGTCACTGGTGTTCATTGATGAGAATGTTTTACCAAATCCTGACATTGATAGAGATTCTCTGACAAAGTCCAAAGGAACGCGGCCCAGTACACCATCAAAGCGATTTTTCGTAACCTTTAGAAAATGAAAAACGAGAGAAATATCAGACATCTGTAAAATATAACAGCGATTCTCTAGTTAAACGGTTTGTCTGCCATAGGTGGAGTTTAGTACAAGTATCACATCCTTACTGTTCACCCACAAACAAACGACGAGAGAAAGTGGCTTGCGATTACAATTTTTATTTTAAAGACATTATTGGTTTGCCGCTAGGGAAAAAGGTTATAGGTATATAGAGAAACTTAATACTGGAAATACTGTCTGTTTTCCGTGAGAAAAGTATCATTAAGGATAATGAGAATAAAAAGAGTTAAAGAATGTAGATGTATTCCACTATGAGCTAATAAAATTAAGGGGACGAAAGAAATTATCATCATTTGCGCACTCCACACCAAGTCACCTTTGACCCTAGTGTGTTATCTTGACGAATTTGAGCCTAAAAGTTGAAAATCTGACATAAACTTGGGTAAAAGGAAGCCTTGTTTAAAAACACGAACAACAAGTACTACTACTGGTCACGTAATTGTAACTGCTCTGCAAACGAAAATTTTGTTATGACACCAGTAAAAGCCAGCCGCCATTAGTGGTAACACGGCTGATGATAACTGAGGACCAAACGGAGCACATATTATAATATTATAATAATATTATATTATTATATATTGACTTTGTTCAATATGCACTTCAGGCATGAAAAACAACAACAACAACAACTGAACACTACGAACGTCTACATTGACACGTCTACGTTGACATTCATAACGTTTTTCTTTGTTCCTCTGAAGATGATAAATTCACTTGTACAACGTTAACCTGAAGATATTTATTAGCTGCTCCTTTCTTGCTCTGAAGAATGACCACGTTGTCTGCTTCTTGACTGGCTTTTGCTGTACCGAAGATGGACGCTGTTTGCAGTTCAACATCATCATTTTCCTATGGGCGACAGTGTGTATGTTTGTAAACTTTATGATGAACATATTTTAAAACAATTAGTATAACAATTAGTATAACCAAAAGTGCTATTTACATCTAAAGTAACAATGTAACAATTTGTGTTGCTGTTTGTCAAAAAACAAGCAAAAGGAATTTTGCCATAAAGTCAAGCATCTACCCAAACAATTAAGCGAAGCATATTCTTGAAAACATTTGAAAAGAAGGAATCAGATGAAATAGTGGTAACCATGCTATACATGTACACTGTAGCACCGTGATAACAAAAAAACCCTACAGCGAGGACTTGTATTCCTGGGCCATTTGACACTACTTGACACTTGACGTTAAGGAATTTCAATCACAACTCTTAATCACCATCTATGAATGCATTTTCATTCTGCTATGAATTAAAAAATGGCAATGCAATTTATGACTGTTTCATTTCAGAGTACAGTCAATCAGGTTACACCTTGTTTTTCTTCTGTTTCTTTACTTCTTCGCTTTTTTGGGGGAACATGGGAGGAAAAGTCTCAGTCCCACCAGCCAAATTCAAGGAGAAACCAGGTGTGCCTATGAACATGTTTGGACCGCATCAGTGCATAGCAAACCTTTCTTGGATGGATGACCAAAGTGACATGTACATTCCTGGTGCTAGCAAAATTCCTCAGTGCTGAGATCACGTGATTCTGAGCCGAAAATCGGTCGTCCCCACGGCTAATAGGAAATGACAAAAAAAAGGAAAAGGTTTAACTGGCAACGAGTAATGGTAACTTTATCCATCATATTAACACTGCAAGAGTTATAGTTCAACTAACGTAAAATTCTTAGCCTGAAGTTCTGTGACCGGTAATCTTTGTTAATTTCTTCGCGGCATCCTTAGCCACACGTTGCCTTTCAATTTTGATATTTGTTGGCATTCTCTAATCGAGAATTTTAAGCAACCAAGGAAAACACAAAATATGGTGATATTGTATAGTGTGTCATTTTGTGTAATGTGGAGTCCTGTGTGTGTGAGCATAAGCGCTTCAGATTCGTGATTCATTAGTAGCAAGGTCGACTTCTGCACCATAAGAGTCAATCGTCAACTGTTGTGCTTCTTGCCGGTTGAGCCGAGTTTGTAAACATGTAACACTTGATTTGTGTTATTTGTTTGCCTTAATTTGGGTGGGGTCAAAGGAAATCAGGGAGGGTTATTGAGTACATTTCCATGTTTAATACTAGAGACATACAGATTTACGTCCAATATACCTTAGATATGAGGTCATAAACTGTAGATTGTCGACGATGACGTGTTCGATGTCATACACATAAGCAGCATGACTCATGGTCTAACAAACCAGAAAATAATCGGTTATAATCATCTTCAAAGTAAAATACACTGCTGATAATTGACTACTTGAAATATTTATAATAAACATTACTTACTTCGATGACAGTGTTAATGTTCTGAGCTCCGTAGAAACACATGAAGTACATTGGTAACATCTCAAACTTGTCTGCCCAGTAATGAAACTGCTCAACGTTTCTCTCTAAATTCAATCTGAGTACAAAATAAATGCACGAAAAGTTCTATTATTCTATAGTCATTACTTACTTCAGCTGTCTCTATTTCACTTATTTACAGCTTCATGTGCATGTGGTTTGTAAAAGTGGACTTACAACCAACGAAATGTACCGACTAAAATAGATTAAACGAAATCATTTTATCCCACTTAATCATTTTCTTAAGACATCGACATTTTAACATCGTTATGATATTCAGTTGTGACCTAATGAGGTTTGATTGTTTTATACTAAACAAACGTGAACCATATCCTTTCAACTTACCCCGAATACTGACACATCATCATTTTCACAAGGCGTACATTACGAATCTCAAAACTTCCCCAAAGCGTGTTCACCTGGTATTGAAAAACGACACTCAAAACAAAGAGAAAACATGTTAAATTACCCCAACATCCGAGCGTGATGAAGGGTAACCTGCGTTAAATATGATGGTGATGCCAGTATTAATGACGATGACATCTATGTTTGATAGTTCTCTACATACATATGTTTGTGTCCTTCATGGTAGGTAAGCATTAAGTACTTAAATAATACAGCATTTAATTAGTAATAAAATGACACAACCAGTGCCTCTTTGGTCGCTCTCCATCAAACGCTTGTCGCTGAGTAATCAAGTCGAGCTACGATCATTCACAGGCAGCTAGTATCTCGCGCACTTATGGTTCTCTAAGTTAGTGTCCCGCGCACTTTGATTTCCCTTGTAATGTTAGCATTTCGCGCAGTTTTGGTTTCCCTTCCAATCCGATGGTCACGTCAGAATCTCGGGCACTTTTGGTTTTTCTTGCTGTTTGATTGTTACGTCTGTACCTGGCGCACTTTTGGGAATTTCTTTTTATCCGATTGTTACGTTGACATCTTGCGCACTTTCGTTTTTTTTTCTTGTGATTCTATTGTTACGTTATTATCATGCACACTTTTGGTTTTTTTCGTTTCCGATTGTTACGTTAGTATCTCGCGCCCTTTTAGTTTTCCCTGATTTCCCACGGTTGCGTCAGTATCTCGCGCACTTTTGGTTTTCCTTGTTGTACGATCGTTACGTTAGTGTCTAGAGCACATTTGGTTTTTCTTTCTGTCCGATTTTCACCTTAGTACCTCGCGCACTATTGGTTTTCCTTGCTGTCCAGTTGTAACGTTAGTGCGTTGCGGACTTTTGGTTTATCTTGCTGTTTGATTGTTCCTTTTTTGCTGGCGTACTTTGAGGACTTCCGTGGTGTCCGATTGTTTCGTTTGCATCTCGCACACTTTTGGTTTTTCTTGTTAGTGTCCCGAGCGCTGTTGGTCTTTGTGTCTCGTGCGTAGCAACTATACACGTTCGCAATCTCTTACCGCTCGTGCAAGGTGCTTCATATAGGACGAAAAATGACGTAATGCTGTTGTGGTTTCTGTGAAGTTTACCCCACGTGACAAGCTACATGATGTAAGCGATCATCGCGTAATATAAATATGAAAAGAATGCGTAACCATGTTGATATTTAGTCGTAAGATCTGTCGGAAATCCTTATTTAGTGAGTAAAACGCCTTGAGCAAACAGAGGGATCTTCGGGACCAATTTAAATCGAAAAAGCAAACGTTACGAGAAAGCTTATCGTCGTAGAAAACCATGCGTTTTGTAGACTGTCTTGTCTCAAGGAGGGCCTGAGGTGGCGAAGCAAGGTTATTTCGGTGGGTAAACCAGTCTTTTCGAAGTTATCAATACAGAATAGACTTCCAGTCAAACGCGCTCACATTTTATCTACGTAATTGACCTTTTGTATTTTACTCATCGTCACTTTTCTTCAATCAATACGTGGTCAGCGGTACACGCCCAATATGTAAGTTAATAGATTTTACGACGTTATTTCCAGCACGAAGATCTACCCTCCTGATAAAAAAAAAATTAAAAAAATACTGCACAATTGGCATTTTACTTTCGATTTAACTTGTAGATCTTTGTGTTTGTTTAGACTCCATTTCATAATATTGTAACGCCCCATATAGGATCGAAATGTCGTTGCAAATTGTACCAAATTGAATCTATCTTTGTTCTACAGAGATAGATTCAATGTTCTCGTGTTGACATCTGTGCGTATATTTCGTACCTCAATTTCCAAAAACTGATATCATATTAAAATTGTATTTGCTAATGTATTTGCTTAAATATTTCCATGCTCTTGGGTAGTATGAAGCGACTCCTTTGTTCTGATTGGCTACCCGAGGAGATGGGCCCATCTCGCCCGCTTGGGATTGCACGCTTTGATCCCCCGTAGGAGAAAAAACCCATACAACAGACTTGCAAAGTTCGTAATTTTTTGGACAATGTCGGTAAAGGAGTAAGAAAAAAAAAAAAGCTGAAGATAGCCAAGGTAATGAAGACATAAACGACTGTCCTTGGTTTACTGTGCTAAAAAATACAGTAGGCTTTCTTTCCTGGCTCTCGAAACAAAAGGCATTATTGATTCCTAATAAAGCGAAATCTTTCTGCTTTATAATAAATATTTTATTGACCAAGCTTATCCGGTCAAGATGGCTAATTATTAGTCTTAATCCTTTTTTTTTAGCGTTTTCTCGACTTCGACTTCCTCGACTTCGTTGCGGTCCATAAAAACAAAAACAAAAACAAAAACAAGAACTCGGCCATATCCTACTATATTGCTTGTTCTCCGACTGTTACGATACTACCTGGCACACGTTTAGTTTTCTTTTCTTTTTGTATGTATTTTACGCTTGTATCTGTACAAAATAACTACCTTACATGTTTATTTAGTTGGCTCACGCTAACTTGTTGTTTGAGAGTATTGTTCGTTGTTAAACTCACCCCCTGCATACAGAGATCAAGTGACATTTCACTTAATAAAGTTGTTTTTCCTGCTCCAGTGGGCCCTGTAAACACTGTCACTTCTCCTCGCCGTAGACCTTTCAGAATGTTGTTTAATTTTGGAAATCTCTTCCACTATAAATAAATTAATGAAATATTCTTTATCATCCACTTTTCAAATATTCAACAGAACTACCGACTGTAACTTAAAATGCAAAGAAAGCTACAAACCTTCACTCCGGCGACTTGCTCAGCATTAACAAACTGATCAAACACTTCACTCCTCAACTAAAAACAAAAAATTAAAAGAGCCCATATGCAGGGCATTTAAGATGGTAAAAAAACAACTTTGAAAAGATTGAAAATACACATTACCTGTATGAAGAATTACTGGTAGAATTACTTGTAGAATTACAGTACTGACCACTACTAATAGCTTTACTTTACACCTTAAAACTAGAGGACTGGTATCAAAGGAATATTTGCTAAAATTATATCTACCCAAGACAGACCTGGTGGAAAGTAGTAATTTTTTCATGGCTGATTGATTGAGCAGCAGAAATTAATGATGTGAGATCATAACCCTAAAAAGAAAGAAAAAAGATAACATCAGGGTTAAACAAAAGTATGACCCTTGCAATTTGAAGCATTGTGTATGCAAATTATGTAAATACCTATAGATATATAAAAACTATTATCAACCTATGAAAAGATGTTAAGATTTCTTAAAGTAATAGATTCCCACACGAAAAATGGCAGAGAGACCAAATAATGGTAATTATAATAATTAACTTTAGTTAAAGTCTTGTCCTGCCTAGATTAGCATTGTAGCTATTTACAGGACATGAAGTTTTGTAAACCTTATATTTCTTTAAATAAATACATGAAGTGTGAAGTGTAAGTGTCAACTTACACTTATAAACAGTTATATAATGGATAATCTACACAAAAATGAGTGAATATACACTGTGCACATACAATCTGCCTCAACTTCAACATACCAAATTTAAAGCATCTAAGGCATTTGCTGGAGATTTGTCATCATTTGGCCTGCAAGGAAATTAAACAACTCAACGCAATTTTTTTGACAAAGTGAATTGTTTAAACATCTTAATGGAACCAGATAAATAGTCTGCTTGAGAGTGGTTTTGTTAAGACAAGTTTATACATAGCTGAGACCATCAAGCTGAGTAATTCATATGGAGGGTGTGCAATAATTACAAGTTTGACTATTTGTAAGTTAAATACTATTACAAACTTTCAATTTATTCTTAGTTCACTTTCAACAACTGGTTGCCCTGAAGATCAACAGAGTTATTTTTTAAAAGGTATTTATGGTCACAAGTCCCAAAAAATCACTCCTGCATGTTTATTTGTGGCATGAAAGTAATAAGATATAAAAGTGATCTAACAACTGAACCAAAACATAATGCAAATTTATCAAATATCAAAGAGGGGATGACAGATGGATTATTGAGTTAACTATCTTTACTGGTGAGGGAGGAACAGTAACATGGAGAAGCAAATTGCTGTGAACTTTCTGTAAATTTTGGATTGTTCTTTCCAAAACACCAATTTCTTTTCTCTGAAACAGGAACAAGTACCTGACTAGGAAACACCTTTTCAAGTTTAACTTCTTTGAAAACTGATTGGCTGCATGCCGAGAGAAAACATCATTTCCAAACCAAAGAACAATCTTCTCAAATTGTTCAAGTTGTGGTAGAACCTAAAGACACAAACATTCACATCAGCATGCAACGAGCAAAATTATTTGTACATGTAGCATACCACTTGCATTTACGAAAGGCCCTAGACTTCTTTCTATTTTAGCAACTCTTACTGTAATCTCAAAACACTAGAAAATTTAGTTTCTGGTTACACCATAAACCTGGGTCATAAAAAGTAATACATAATTAAGTGATACTGGAAGATTAACTGAAACAAGAATTTTTTTGTATATCAAATAATAAGAGACTTAATGAAGAATCCTTTTCATCACTGATAGAAGCACTTATTTACTTCCCTTTGAAATTTCTGACTGAAATAGTTCACCAAACAGTACAAATTGGCTTTAAAACTGAAACAATATTTTAGAGATGACAATTAACATGTACATTATATGAAGGTGCAAGAACTGATACATAAAACATATGCAACAAACCTCAAGAGGAAGGGAGTTTGTTCCCATTGGAAGGGAAATGGCTGGATACATAGTTGATTGACTCACAGCAATAGCATCAAACTCGTTGGAAGTCAAAACAACCTAAAATTGACCAAAGTGAAATACAATTTACTTTGACTACAACAATTAGAGCCTGTGGATTGATATAGCAATCAGCCAAGAAAGTGTATTAATCAACCAAGCTGCTTTCACAATGACCTACATACAGTACAAGCACCTTGAGTTCCTTGGTAAATGTTTGACATTCACCAGATGTACATATGGGTAACCAACCTCCTTTTTTTCAGAATCTACAGTATTCCAACCAAATAGTCCCAAAAAGCCCTGCCTGGAGATCAAAATGTAAAAAAAATTGCTTAATAAAAAACAAAATAATGCATCTAACTAAAGTTAGACTGTGCTAATTGAATACGTACATTACACATATTAAATATTATCAGATTCAAATAAAAGCCTTCATATATGATCAGTAAGTCTTTAAGTGTGGGTCAAAGTATTGAGTTCTTGTGAAACATTCTACTGTTACAGTACCTCCCTTTACATAAGGATGCATGTAATATGTTTGTGCAAGGAATGGGGGTTATTTTTGCATTGGCTCAAATTATAATATGCATTTAGGAGTAACAGTTCTTCAACATTTACTAGCTTTCCAGTAGAAGTCGAATCATCCAAATTTTGACTTAATCCTAAAGTGATCAACATACAGGTGCATGTCACTTTCTTACCGTGGTTCAATAGCAATGCAGGAGTCAGATGAGTCAGACCCCAGCCTCACCAGCTTAATGCCCCTAACAGTTTCCTTGCTGACATCATACCATGGGAATAATATACACTCATATTTTCTTGACCTCCCATTTTGCTCCTTGAACTATATGAGAATAGAATAAAATACAAAAAAAAAATTTACCTTCAACTCTGAAGGAACTAGACAACAATAACTTTGAGTGGTAAGTATATTACAATTTTGGTCAATTTCAAATATCATTATCATCATTTTAACCACTAAAATCACTCAAAGTAATTATTAAACATATTCACCTCATGTTCAACAAATCTGACTTGAAATTTCTCCAATACATCCCTTCTTAATTCCTATAAATAGCAGGATACAAAGTGAACTCAGCAGAATATTATTCAGGCTATTCAAGGAAAGAGCAAAAATTAAACACAGTTCTTATAAACAAGCAGGCTGATTCACACAGAGGAAACCAAATGTTTTCACCATCTTTTGACCAGGAAAAAAAAATACAATAATAATGAGCTGAACCCAAGAGTAAGAGCTGGTTGATCATGTAGTCTAATTGTGTAAGTGGGAGCAGTCATGAAAAAGTGTTTTATCAGTAGCAACATTAAGTGGTGACTGCCATCTCAAAAAAAAAAAATAGCAGAAATAATCCTCTGAGTCTAGTAAGGAGTTGTTTAAGTAAAGCAATGATTCTTGTTGGTGAGCTGCTAAAATGAAATTTATTTCTCAATCACTAAAAATTATCAAGGAACTGTTTTTGGTAAAGTGTTATAGGTCTGGTTCATGGAAACTGATTGGTCAGTTTTGCTGTGATATTACTGGTTGTACACGTATGCAAGACTCAGGTAGAAGAAATTGGTTAGGACAGGTCAGTTTCATTGTGTCAGTAAAGTTATGTCCTTCTATTTTCCGAATCTATTGTGTTTTAGCTGTATATAAGTTGCTCATATGGTGCTAGAAGTTGTTAACATCAGTTTGCAACCCAGCTTTCAGAAGTCCCTGGTTGAAAGAAGCCTAAAGAGGAGGTTAAACACAACTTTAGTCTTACTGCTAACAACATCAGGGCACTTCTGACTAATCAGTTCTCACCAACCAGGCTTTTAACACTGACCTGACAGACAAATAGTCTCTTGACTCTGATGATGATGACTTCCACAGATTTTGTTGAATTGTCATCAAAGATTAGGATCCATTAGGATGTAATGGTTAAATATGATATTTGTAATTACATTATTTGGAAACACTGGAGAGTAAAACACTGTTTTACCTTGACTGAGAAATGATTAATAAACTTTTCCCACATCTCATGATCACACTGAGTCAGTGAAGTAGACTTTTCCCATATTTGTCTGGCTAAATCTGAACTGCTTTCAACATGATTGCCATTTGAAGAGAATTTATTTGCCTCTTGAGAAATGTTTCCTTCATGTATTTTCTACATTTATAAAAAACAGGTCTAAATACACAATTTCAACTTGAATGGTTAGACAGACCTGAGAGCAAAAGTTGATCATGTAGTATGATCACACTGGTGAATCTCCGAGGTAGGGTAGTTGTGAAAAAAAATTACTTTTGGTGACAGTGGTTGATGTTTGACAACTTGTCATTATTATAATAATTCAGTTGCTAAAATAGAGATTCCAAATCTGTCACTGCCACTGACAGAACTCCTTTTTGTGGCTCTTCAAATCCTCTCCCAGATTATTTTACTACACAATAAACATGTAACTGAACAACAAAATTGAAATTGGTTTTGTCAGGTTTTGATGTTTGTGAATCTGTAAGAGTTACTAGTATCTTATTCCTCTGCACAATATCACCCCAGCCCCAAATCTAATATTATGAAAGCAAAATGAAACTCAAATCACAGATCTTCCCACTATAAATACTGCAGATGTCATTAGGAAGGTTCAGAATTAAATACATGTAGATATGAAGTCTCCCTCAGTATTCCTGTGCAAGATCGTGTTTACCTGTGCAATAATGGCTGAGTCCTCTCCATCATTTCCATAATTTATTATTATTGGAAATAGTCCTCAATTCACTTGTTCAACAGATCAGCATGATCATGAACTTTCAGAGGGTGGGCCAGGTGCATGTAAGTCAGCATATCCCTTGATATATGGAGGAAACATTGCAATACTACCGCTCTTTCCTCTGAATCAAATTTTGAAAACTATGATTCTATGGTTTGAACTGCAGAAAGAAACACTTTTAAGCCACCTCAGGCAATTACCTCTCCTTTTTACATGTGTTAGGCACCTGTGCTGACCATATTATTTGAACCCGAGTGATTTGCAAACTTTTCTTGTGTTCCTCCAACAGGCCAAATGGGTTATTACGCTAGTAAACTGATAGAAAGTGTGGTCTATCGCTTTTATTAAATAAAATTGAAACAAAATATGTTTCAACTTTCTATGGGTTACCGGTGCAATAAACGACAAGTTTTTGACCAATCAGGGCGCTCGTAGTATGTCGGTTATTTTATAAACATTACAGACTGTAATTTTCACTGTCTTAATTCTTACCTTAAATTGACTCCAGGTTCCCGATAATCCACAGTTTTTGCAAAAATGACTTCCAGTAGTCTTATTAATATAAAGTGTTCGTGCATTGCCCTTCTCCTCTATACTCTGAGCTTTGCTAGCACATAGTGGACAATTTCCTATGAGTGAAGTATGACCGCGTTCGAACGTGAGTTTACGACTTGTCAGAAAATGCTCGATCTGCTTTAGGCTTGGTAACTGTTCACCAAAATCTCCAGGTAACGTATGAATGATTCTTTTTCTGATTTGTGATGCAAACGTCATCCCAGCATCAACACATATTGTAGTGCTTGAAGTAAATCGTTGGGATTCGATTTTTTGCTGAGAAACTAACCACGTGCAACAAGTTCGGCATGAATTCCACGAACTTCGCCAATTTTTCGCTAATTTGTGCCATGAAAAAAACCACGCCACCCGATTTAAACTTTGGACCATTTTTTTTTTAAAGCATAGTCATGATCATGCTTCAGGATACAACAATTAGTTATTAGCCGAATCTATCGCCTGAAACATCCAGGCGGTCAGCTTTTCGACTGTGGGTGCGGGAGATAAGTTATACTATGGGTGGGAGGGGTTGTGGTCGCATCGCATGCAGGTAACCGTGATCACTCATCTCCCTCGCAGTTCGACATGTTAATAAGCCCTCCCTTGCGCACAAAGGATGTCTTTGAAAAACTCAATATACAGATCAAAAGTCTAGCAAGCTCTGCAAACTTACTGTTCGATAATCTCATCAAAGTTTAGGTGCACACCATGAATTATGCTGCGACGGAAAGAGCGAGTGACATGTTATGTTTCACTCTTCAGGGTAGGGTATAGCAAGTATACGCACCAGTCTGTGTCCTTAGGTGCTCCTCGTGCACACCAAAACCCGAAGGACACTTACTTGTCATCAATCGGACCTAGGCAGCTAGGGTGCCCTATCAATAATTGGTACTAATCTACTATCTATCCCAAATACTACTATCTGACTGGCAACGCTACTTGCTATCTATATAAACAGTAGCCTCTATTTGGTGCAAAAACATGCCCAGATGATTGCTCGTGGACATTATCTCTTGCGAGATCCGAACAGTTCCAAGCCTGAGGACGAAGCTCGAGGAAAACTGTAAGCTTCGAAGACCAGACAGTGTCCAAGGACAAATATATGAGCACACTTTTGTGCCAAATGGTACATGAAAAATTACTCAGTTCTAATTGGTTAAGATAAATGCAGTTTTTAGGTAATTCATTGCAGAAGAGGGTTAATTCAGTGCAAAGAAGTAACAAACCAGACTGAACAATTCCTTGAACTGTTTAGCCAACTTTGACCTTTTTTGCACCTTAAAGATGTGAAAATATCATTGTATATTATTGTTTTGATCATGCAGGGTTGTTTTGACTAAATGCATAATGTCACTTGCAGGGTTTTAATAAATTATTTTTGCACTTGATGTGTGAGCTTTGCTTTGGCATAATTATGATAAACTATCTCGTATTTTTTCATGTATATTATTAATACATAATCACATGATTTTTCTTGTGCAATTTGGAATAAATGAGCACAATTTTTTAAAGACCACAAATTACAAAAATTTTGTCAGTCTGAAAAAATTTACTCATGCTCATTTATTCCAAATTGCTCCCAAAATTATGATTGTCTATGCAAATATTTTTGCATTCGATGGGAAAAATGGTAATGCACAAGTTAATGTATGCTGCATGGGCTGTTTAATTGTCAGTGTTCTCTGGTATGACATTATGAACAAACAATTAGTCTTTTCTTCTGTAACAAAAGCTAAATGCTCTCCCATCTTGAATTAAATTTTTAAGACTTCTAACATAGTAGACATAGGGTTTGAAAATTGGGGAATACATCTTGGGTGTATCCTTGGATATTACCCAGTATTTGATTAAATCTTATTTAGACCAGTCACATGCCAACAAAAATATTTCATGGATTGCAATAGTGCTTATGGGTAGAGTGAGTAGGTGACAGCGTGTGGTTGTAAACAAAAAGAATTAAAAGCACGAACCTGTCTTAGTGTTCAGTTTAAAGCAGGTTGTGGATTTATAATGCTGAATTAGGGCCTTGTCTTGCCTCATATCACAAGATGGAATATCTTGAGCTCATAATCTTAATGTTACATAAAATTATAAAATAATAATTGATGGAATACAAGAATTTCTCCCACTTCCAAAATACTATTTCTTGTTTTAAAAGAGACTTATCCTCTCATCCTTCCATTTCTAACTAATGTCAACTGCTTTTAAGGAATGTGTATGAAAACAAGGGAAGACTCCTTAAGAAAAGCGCAAGTTTTTGTTTTCATAACTCTGGTCAGTCTGTTCTGACACATTATTACCCTCCTATAAATATATATTACTGATCAATCTGGTTCGAAGAAGATCGCTGGATAATGGCAAATAACAAAATGGGGAGGTATCAAAGTGACTAGCCTCAAGAGGGCAAGCCTCTTATGCAAGTCAGTGTAGGATTCTGCTGCTGTTCTTAAACACAAAATGAGGACAAAAGTTACTCCAAATGTTTATTTTAAAAAATAAATCACAAATTTTTATTTAAAAAGTTTTGGCCCCCTCCTTTCCTCTTGAATGTTTGACTTTATTCTTCTTTTTCTTGACTTTTGGATTTCCATCCGTTATGTTTAAACCATTCTGATTCAGTCTCTCAGGGGATAGTTCAGTCACTCTTTCAGGCTGATCAGTTTCATCACTAGACCGTTGTTCATATCTTTCTATATCTTTGTGTTTCCTTTTCCTGTAACCAAGAGAGGAAGGTTACACAATCATGACAATGGAAAATATTGATGATGGATCTTGCAATACACAATTCCATTTATATCAAGCTTATGCAAGCACAAAATTTAAGCTACTTGTTTGTGATCATACTTAATATTAACTTGAAAAGAAATACAATAGCTGCATGATTTTAACAGCCTCAGAGGTGTTAGTAGAGAAACCATGTTTAAAGGCTAGAGACTAATATTTGTCCAAGTCAACTGAAACTAGTAAAGAATAATTACTGGATGCAGCTTTAATCCTCAGCCTCAGCCAAAGACACAAGGAGAGGGATAAAGAAAAAGCTAGCAAGTATGAATTCTGCACTGGTAGCTCACAATGAAAAAATATGACTGGCTATCAGACAACTATCAACAAGCTGCAACTAGTTGTCAACACTCAGCACTGATAGCAATCCATATGCTTCCAGAATCCTTGTCTTGGTTTTAGATTGTTCAACCATTTAAAACAGAACAGATTGAAGCTTTTGAGGCCCAGTTTTAATGAGGTGTAATATTATTACCATTTTCCCCACCAGATTTTAAAAGAAAAAATGTGGTCTCTTTTACACAGTATGCTTACACATGTGAGCTTACATTCAGCTACAGTATGAAATATTCACCTTTTGTTGACTTTTTGTTCCTTCACTTCACCTATTATCGCTAAAACGCCATTCACGGCTTCTGTTCCAATAACTTTAAATAAAAATTCAGATCCAATGTCCAGGCTATCAAAAAGTAATCCATTTTTAAAGTTTGATTTCGCGATCGAAGCGTTAAAACAATTGTGAACCAAACATCCAACGTAATCAACGCCAAGTTTGTTTACGGTTCCCACAAGCGTACTTCCGATCGTCGGCTTAAACAAGATGATATTTACTTTTACGTCAAAATGAATATAGGGTGATTCTTCCAGAATGGAGCCAGTTCTTTGCTCAATTTTAAAAGCTTCATAATTTACAGGCACACCGTTCAGAATGTCCGAATGCCTCATCAGCTTACTTTTTAAATGTTCCTGAACTCCTTTCCTCACACAACCGAGGTATCGTGGATGTAGTACAATATGTTCTGTTGTTTGTTCCTTCACAAAGCAAGAATTTGTTTCAGAGCACTTTCTTTTTGCTTCCTTAAGAGAAAATTCGTAAGGCACATGCTTCGAAGGAGACGCCATTTTGAAACTACCTACTCTGGGAAGCCTGGAAACTATTCTAGTAACTTGCGAAAATCTACAGTTCAGCGGTCGTGAAGGATAGAATGGTTAGTGTTTTGGGAGGTACTCTGAAATGCATTCCTCTACCATTTTTAACGATGGCTAAGTGTAACTTTGATTTATATGTGACTTTCGCATTTGAACGCTCTTTCTTTGATAATAAGCTCCTTCTACTCCTTACTTTAACCTTCTAAGTAATCATGGTAAGGCCGAGAACTAGTCTGGCGGCTTCGATAAAGAAGACCAGCTATATGAAACCTACAATAGAAGTAAAGAAGTATTGCTATTATGATCTTTAGTGATGTTATTACTTTAATTAGTAGTGGTAATAATAGGAAGGCTTATTGTCTTTTCTTGGAAAATATTATATCCGATCGACACCAGTTTGATGAGAATGAAATTCGTGAAATTCTGGTGTTGTTCTTGCTAGTTTTAATTGTTCATATCCTTTTTTCTATCTAATTTATTATTTTTTGGGGTCATTGTAGTATTTATCTTTTCCAGTTTTGGTACATTTAAGATTTTCATGATTCCTTTTTTTCACTATTTTTCTTAGCATTTGAATGTTTGTGGAGAGAACCTTAGTTGTACGATCATCGTACAATCATCTCCTAGAGGTAATTGAGCCCAAACTATAGCAGCTGATATCGGGGAGTTTCTATAGAGTTCTTCCTTCTTCCAATGAAAGTATAGCTGAATTTCTGAAGACCAAGCAAACAAGAATGTTTAACTCCTCTCTCTATTTGCCTAATTAGCGGTTCCATCTATTGGGAAACTAGTGTCAAACTGAAAATATTTAATTCGTTGATGAAAGAATATGCCGTGCATTAAAAATTTGCCGGCCAAAGGAAAATTCTACATATACCGGAAAATCCTATATGTACCGGAAAATACTATTTGCCGAATGTCTCACGGAAAAGCTTGATAGCGGATATCGGCAATGAAGTCAGTCCCTGGCAACATCGATCAGAGATTTGTATTATTCCTACACAGGAAGAGGGCGATTGGTTAGTTTCTACACGGTTTTTTTTAGTTAGTTTTCCCTTTTAGACCTCTCACGTCAGGCACACTTAAATCTCAAGCCTGTATTTTTGCTGATGAAATGGAAAGATATTAGTCCAGCTGTCGGCCTCTTCAGCTTCGAGAGGAAACTAAAAGAGGAGTAAAATATTACTGTGGATAGATATTTTTATCACACCCAGCCAGTGTAACAACTTCGACTCTTCTTCTATGACAATGGACTGATTTTAATATACTCAGTTGTTACAACATAAGAATATCATTGGTTTATTATTCTATCCTGGCAGCTCAGTGCCTTATTTACAGTCAGTTTGACAACAACGTGGACTCAATGGAAACGGAAGAAAAATAGTGGAACGGATTGTTAATATTGGGATGAATAGAAATAACTGACAACACTATATTTGAAATTCTGGGTACTGTTTTTTCCAAAAAAGGCCGAAGTACAAGCTGTCCTGAAATTTTTAAACCTTTTTTGATATTTGCCCCATATCGAAAGACGTATAGCAGACTCGCCGTGAAACGATCTTGTTGAAACACTCATCACAAGAATACTGCATTTCAGTCTTTCTTATGATTTTGCTGGTAATGCAAAATTATTTACTTATTTCAAAGGTTGTACAGGGTTGTACCTCCTGATAATTCGTCGAAAACCTGACAACTAGCATGATAACTTAGCGAATACAAATCAAATGTCACTGTGGCAACCCAAGAGAAAACAGCTTTGATTTTTTACTCGCCCGAGGCCATGCAAACCACCTGTGAAGAGAAAATAAGTGTAAAGCGATTGAGTACTCAATATACTGGCAGCCTTAAAAGGAAACTGAATAAAACATCGCCATTAATCTTAAAATTAGAACAAATTTAATCTGGGAACAAACTCAGTCACTCACTACCACGATGTAATCTTTTTTTAAGGTGGATCCTCAGTAATTTGAGCAATGGAGCCATGCTAATTACGAAACCATGAGCTGAGCAACTCATATCCATATGAACCCCGCGGTCATCAACTTATTTTTTCTCCCAAGTCATAGTGTCCTTAGTATCTCTGCCCTTACTCTACGACTGATGTTAACAATGCCTCTTAAAATTATCACGCTGTGTTAATCTTGTGAGAATAACTATGACAACCTAAACATCTTTCATAACGAAACGTTTGATGATTCTAAATAACATTAACCTGGTTGTAAAATGAAAATTTCAGTTATCCTTAGAGTTAAAAACATCACAGGAAAAGCTTGTTTCCTATTTTCCCCTTTTCCCGATAAACTGTGCCAAGAGAGGATTAGCCTCTCTTGACTGTGACTAACCGTGGGTCCTTACTCAGGAAGCATGTATATCGGCTTTGTGAAAACACGAACAGTATCACAGTACTTTTTGCCATGCGATTGAGAGAAAGTCTGGGTTGAACGTAATTGAATTTTCTTTGATAAGGATCTGTACCACTTTCACCGCTCTTATAGAACACTTTACGTTTATTCCCTGGTTTACGTAAATAAAAAAAATTCCTGAATTTATCTACGTGAGAAAAGGATTTTAATCGTGGTGTTTTCGTCCGATTACATGAGCCAAACAGACCCTTGGCAACCTTTTGTTGTTCATCAAAATTGTCATTGCACAAAATGGGCAAAAAATACCTAAAAAAAAAACAACAGCAGTAAACTACAATGAATTAACCATTCACAGAAATTATTTTTTTGCTCAAGTTATAATGAATTGCATTCTTTACACAACTGATCAAGTCATGTTTAAGCTTATTTCTGGAAAGTCAGTTTTTATCTCAACAAAAGTCATTGAGAGTAAAGGTAATATTCGAGAGAATATGTTGCACGGAATGAATTTCTAAATTGAGGGTCGAAATAACCACAATAAGGAGGAAGTTTTTCTCTTGAAATTGCTTAGCGACGCAAACAACAAACTTCGATTCATAAATACATCGAACAAATTAATACTGTTAAGCCTAAAAAAGATCACATATAGTCTAATATCGGTTCTAATTGTGTATTATCGAACGTAATTAATTATTTCTATCTGGTGCTATATAAGGTGTGTACCAGTAGCTCCGTCACTTTATGATCTCACATCGTAGGACAATAATGATCTTCGCTCAGCGTTTTCGCAGCGGGTTTCTTCTTCTCTCCTTTGGTAAGTGAACTATAACAGTCTCAGAACCATGCAGTACACATACGCACACTGATCTAAGAGTCTTTTTCGAAGGGTATCCTTTTTGTTTTATAAACTACTTCAGTAGCTGGGGTAGAGAACTCTTGTATTCAAGGACAATGATTACATTTCAACGTCAAATCGCCACTTGTTTAGCGAAGTTAATAACTGACGACGTTTACTTAAACAGTAAAACTGGACTCGAGAAACCAACTGTCACATAATTGATTGAAATTGTCTCACTTAAGTTTACACACGGCTGAAAGTAGACGGTGAGAAGTTCATGTTTGCCGTTTGCTGTAAAGATCGTGCCAGACCTCCCTGCTATTTCACAGTCATCAATGTGACGCGGAAAAAGTGATTCAGTCCAGAAATAGAAGATAATTGTAATTCAGTAACAGCACTTTTCAATCACGGTTTGATTTTCCCAATTTAGTAATTTTTTCTCTTCAATTTTGTTGTTGTTGGCTCAGGTCTACCTCAATGATTGTAAAGTTGCTGCTTCGTGGCAAATGTCCTGCTGTTTCAAACAGTTGTTTTTTTTCTCACTTATTTAAAGTGATTTCAATTCCTAATGTCTTTTAGCTTTAATGATCTGTATATATACTTCTAAGTTTTTCGTAGTTACGCCCGTCGCTAATTGGTATCTATTGCTGATTTCTTTAATGACATTAAATGATATTTTGAATAAATCAGGCATTCAGGCTTTATCCTCGAAGAAAACACTGAACATATTTTGCTCCTGTTGTGGCCTTTATCAACGCTGACGTTTTAAGTCCTTAATGATCAATATTAGGAGTCATTTGACTTACCTCTTGTGGCCAACATTTTATTATAAACAGATTTAGTAATATCTTAATCTAAGGCTAGGAGGACTGAAACGATATCATCATCTGCTTAAAATATGCCTTACTTCACAGACAGTGATGGCATCGTCTGTCTTGGTATCCATTTCTGAGGTCTCAACGTCAACACAGTTTTAAGGGGTACATGTATCTACTGTTCGTTTCGTGACAACAATTACTTTACCCTGGATTACATGAGTTACTTGGCTCTGATCATAAGAGTTCCCGTGGTAACCTTTGAAGGACTTTAACATTTCGCCAGTCGAAATATGGTCGACTTTTATGAATTAGAATATCATATTTCCGTCATTAAGTCGTATTTTCCTCTCGGCTTCGTATAATTTGCGGCAATCAAAGACTCAGAGAAATAGAAAATATTGTCAGACTTAGAAGGATAGCAATTCATATTAGTCTTCAGTCGATACATTATCAGGTGATGCAAGGCCAGAGGATGGAAAATAAACAGGAACTTAACGCGTGCATAGTCGCTAACATATCCTGAGTTTTGAAAAGATTCTTAGGAATGTCATCGCACGCGGATGACGTACTGCGCGTATTTCAGTTTCGCCTTTCGGACAAGATCAAATACTAACTTTGCATACGACAGCAAGCTTTGTTCACATTACACACGTCATTCAAATGAGACTTAATGGGTTAAGTTTGCAAAACTAGGTAGGTGTTTCATTTGCATATAGCCTTATTTCAAGGAACCTTTTTTTTTCAAGGTTTAATCAAACTTCAGATATGTCAGATATGACAGTGTACCTCCAACTGTAATAATTACTTTGCTTATCATTGTCTTCTAAAATATTTTTGGCGGTGGAAAACTTTCATTCTCCACAGCTTTGTTCCTGATCGTGTGTTTTGCTGACGAAGGAGGGAACAAACATGACGATAATGATGAAAAGATAACAATTCGTGGCAGTAACGTGTCGGCCAGAATACTTGGTCGGTCAGGAAAAATAATGGTTGTGCGAAATGAAAAAGACGACGATGATGACAAAGATGACAAGGATAATGATGACAAAGACGACAGAGATGGCACAGACAAAGACGACAAGGATGACTCGGACAGCAAGGACGACAAAGATAATAGAGACGGCAAAGATAGTCGAGATGATAAGGACGGTAAAGATGACACAGACGATGATAAAGATGATGAAGATGATGACGATGATGATGATGATGACGATGACGAAGATTTTAACGACAACAACGAAAACTTGTTAACTTTTGAACTCGATGAAATCGAAGAAAAAGATGCAGATGACAATGATGTCGATGACAAACATTCCGTGGATTCCTTTGATGATGTGAAGTTCACTTTTGGGAAAGTAAATAAGAAGTCTACGCTCAATGGAATCCGCGTCACTACTGTGAACTTGTCAACTTATTTTGATGATCAAAAGGCTTCACTTGAAATCATAGTGTACTTGTTTCATGAACCTGGGAGTGTCAAATTTGGTAATGAGACTTTTGCCGTACAAAGTGGAACTGTCAAGTTCAATATTAAGGTGAGTAAATGCAGCCAACAGAGCTGCGTATGATTTCTGTTATAATAAAACTTGTGGTTCTATCAACGTGGCCATTTTTTACCATTTCTATAATTTTTTTTTTGAACTATTGTTTTACGGTAGGAAAATCTGTAATTTATCAGTGCAGGAGAAACCATAGAGCTAGAAACGGTAAGACTAAGATCTGAAACAAATTTGATAAGCAATGGAAGTTTAAACCTCTATCGTAATTATTTCCAGCTTTAAGTGGATCTATTGCTTTTACATATCATCCCCAGCTTGTGATTTCAGTCGTTGTGTTAGGGTGTGTGTATGTGCGTGTATCCGTTTAGCTATAATAACTTCCTAGAGAGATATGTATTCCTTCAATGAGTATCAGTGAAAAAGAAAATGATAAAAAAATGCAGTGGTTATGATAAATTGCTCATATGTGTCTAATATAAACAGATCAGTAACTGGGATTTCTGTGATAAAGACGATTCACCTGGAGACTGCAGTGAGGGCAAAGAAGGAAAATATCTCGATCTTAGCCTTAAAATAAAGAGCAAGGGATCTCCGAAAGAGGTGGACGAGGATGACCGCAAAAAAAAAATCTGCGACTCTAAAGATGACGATGATGATGACGATGACGATGATAAGGATGAAGATGAAGATGACGATGACGATGATGACTGCCCTATCATATACGACGTTGGTGGAGACTCGGAAATGCTGCTAAATAAAGGGGTAGGTCAAGCGAACTTAGACATAAATGTATTTCAAGAGATTAAAACGACTCATCTTGGCTGATTTTTTCTGACATGAGAAATTTTGAACTACAATTAGTAGCAAAATTGTTGACACCTAATCAACGAAATGGCAATATTCTGAGATAGCCAACCAATGTTATCGCTAATACCCTCTTTTTTACTCCCTTTCCCCCTATGCCGACGAGCTTTGATTCCCGTGATAATATAACATTGGTTTGGGGAAGGGGGCTAAGTTAGTATCAACATATGATCTTAGTTGACGGTTGAGACCGACTCAAGTGATCACATTTCGCCTCGAAGTGTAGGCTTCACCGAGCGATTTACGTTTCAACTTTGCCATTAATTGCAAGCTTTCTTTTCCCCTCGACGACTAAGAACAATATAAATCACGAATCGATTTATTTCAAATTAACTTAAGTTTAACTTAAGTTGGTAAAGAACTTCACACCCCAGTCAATTTATTGCCTCAGTGAGAAAACATTTCCTTCTATGCCTAATTCGATGTGATGTCATTGGAGGCGTAGATATTCCGGATAATAAAACGATCAACTGAATATACTTCTTTCTTGCATCCGACAGGACTTATACTCTAATGTTTTATGAGCGCTCGCCATTTTCGGAATGTTAAGCCAAAAAGAAAGTGATATAAGAGTAATTATTAACAATTTCCTTGTAGTAAGTCTTAGGCGTCTTCATATTATAAGCTTATATAAGCTTAGATAAGAATAACAGTTACTCAGTTATTAATTGCTTTTAAATCGATTTCTAATGTGTCTTCCCTTTTCTAAGGTCATGATTGACGATGATGAGTACACTGCTATGCCACAAGGATTTCCCAAATTTGAGTCAGATGACAATGAGAAGAAATTCGTGTTTCGCATCCCGAAATTTAAGAGACACGTGCTGATTGATCCAAGTGTGAACGTTGGCAAGGTGCTAAAGGAAGTCATTGTCGAGAGTGCTGCTTCTTGGTCACAATTCAATATTGCTGTTACTGTTTTGCTTCTATTTGTAGCTATTTTTACAGCTCAGTTCTAGAATATGGAACAGAACAACTCACCTGATTAAGGCCAATTAAACGTTGTGTTTTTAAGTGTATATCTAAATTGAAAAGTTGATACATGGATCTGTATCGAAAATAGTTGCACATAGCATTCTTTTTAGGGCTAATCTCGAGCTGTAAAGATTTTCATCGTCTTCAAAACAGAGACTGATGTTGAATTTTTATAAGAGGATAATAGCTGTGCTGTTTCTCCTCGCAAGACTCGCATTCCGTAAAGTGCCGAAAACTTACGGCTGAAATCGAAACATTGAGCGTGCGGCTGGCAATTTTACAATGCAAGATTCAAAGCAAATCCATTTTTTCCTTTTTGATATCTGACTGAAATAGCAGCATGAAATCTCTTTGTCAGATGTTCTTTGCATATTACGACGAGAGGATCTCGATTTTCAAAAGAAACATGTTTTTTCTGATTTATCTAGTCGAGCTTTCCTGACAAACTAGATGTTATTATAACAATAAAGTTTATCTCAAAGAAAAAGTGTACTAGTCTTAGAGAAGGCCCACAAACATGAACGTGATTGTTGTCGATGATATCAGCTCAGAGTCCACGACGTTGTCGGCGATCTGTGTCGCAGTTCTGGGACCTTCTTGAGCGACCTCTTAAGGTGATTTTTTTTCAGACAATGATGGTCAGAGAAATTTAACTGTCAACCCCCCAAAAGCTTATTTTTAACCGTTGACCGTCGGATATACTTTTATTTTGAGACCGTACAAAAATTGCGATATCATTCTTGCGGAGATGATCTCAGTCGTGTCATATTTTATCTCTTTTTAATCATATGTGTTATCCTGACATTTTTATTTTTTGAAATTATCACCTACATTCCTGAACAAACGAGAAAAACAGTCGACGGGTAGGGAGGCAAAAAGTAATAACTGTTGCCGGTCGTGGCAAAGTAATGCGCTGAAACAGACTGCCACGGACTCTTTCATCGTGTTTTAGCTTGAATTAGTACTTAAGAGCCACTCTGGTACCCTTTCAACTCAAATTAGTTCACCCTTCTTGTCTAGACTCCTCGTTTTATCTCGGCGTAAAGTCACACACAAAATTTTCTTAACTGCAGTGTTAGTCTATAGGAGAAAAAGACTTTATTCGAGTTTAAACGCCCTCTGCCAATCCTCTCCTCAGGGGGTGAGTGCATCCAAACATGACCCCATTGTCATCTATCGTGAGCGCCACTCCTAATCCTATTGGTCCAAACGCCTTCATATATTCCAGCTCGGTCACGTTTTGTCCCATCTTACGTACTTCCTGTAACACGTTGTTGGCAACTGAGAACTCTTCTATAGGAACCGCCTGGAAAAAATCTGAGAAGCTCGGCAAAAGAAAAGTAGGGGACTCCATGGCTTCTTTAGGATTCATACCGCTATCCAAGAGGTTGGTAAAGTACTGTGGAACCACAACGGGATACGATTCTCCTACAACAGACAGTGCCATGACTGGCCGCTGGCTTCCGGTTGCCTCGCCACCCTTGAATGCTATAGCAGGTTGAAGGCCCGCTGGAAGCCTTCCCCCGGGAGTTGTCTGCTTGACGAAGGACTTAAATATCGCAGCTGAATGCGGTAAAGCAATTCCCTGCACAAAAAGACCTGTTCCCCACATTTCACTGTTGATAGTGTGAATCATGGAACAAACATTCCCATCTTTGTCGGCTGCGACTATAGAATCTGAGCCATGTATAAAGTCTCTTATGTTCTCCTCTCCACCAAGCAGTCTTTTAATTATGGTATTGACGTCTTTCATCTTTTCAGGAGAACCGATCCTCTCCCAAATGGCTTCGGCAGACCCTTTCGAGAGGCGATTGGAGAAATCAAGGTCAAAGTTCTCTTTCAAGATCGATAAGCCAGCAGGGTTTGAGTGCAAGAAAGCAGAAACAAAGAAACTAAAGCGAGAGATCGAGGCGAGTCGGAAAAATTCGGTTGCATTTGTGATGTAACTGGACCCTGGTTTCTGGCCGATTTCTGCCATTTCCATTAGATTCAGCTTTTCAATTAGTTCAATTCCGCCCCAGTCATTTCCAGACGTACACACATTGTATTCGTGATACGACGTATTGAAGGGCTCTTCCCATTGCGTTTGATAGCGGTGCATATCATTTAGGGCGATAAATCCCTTAGCCTCTCTAATCAGAGACGTCATCTGCTCGGCCCACGTTCCATTGTAGAAGAACTCCTTTGGATTCTCAGACACACTTCGTATAAATTCGGCTACTTCTGGTTGTTTGAAAAGTTCGTTAGAGGCGTATGGCTTCCCAGTCTCAGGATTGGTAAAAATCTTTTCACCTAAAGGAATTCAATTATTGAGGATGTTGTCTCACGACACTTTTCAATAACCAGTAACCAACATCTCCTACAATTGCACACCTCGATTAAAAGAAACTTTTACTTGTTTTTCATCTTTGTCGTAGGTTTTATTGTGCCCTTCTGTTAAATCTATCTATCTTTCTGTTAATTTTTGTTGAGTTCTGTTTTACCTTTCTAACAGTATTTCATCTCTATGTCAGCTACGCATTTTTCAGTCGATCGTTTGCATCAGTATTTTTTACGGTATTTTCTACCTGATAAATTCAACGTTATCTCTAAGAAAGTTTAATACATGAGTTGGATGGACCAATTCTTCCAGACCTCCACACTTTTACTCCCACATTTCCGAAACCTCACCGTTAATATTACCCACTTTCCAGACTCCCTTCCAAACTTCAAACCCTCTAAACTTTCGCACTTCCTCATTACATACTTCCAAATTTTTAGATTTCCAAAATTCCATACCACCCAGCTTTATTCATTCAAACTAAGACTATTTACACTCACTCAGTTTCTCGCTTTCATTACTTTAAACTTGCACAAATGTCTTTACAAAGACCTCCTCGCTCTCAAGCATTTAGAGCTGAGAGGTATATTAATCTCCGTTATTTTGCACTCCTTTCTTGCAACTCGCTCCGCGCCTTTCGATATCCTAAGTAGAGCTTACAGATACCACTTCATACCTTCACTTGTTCGCAGCAATGTAATGTCGTTGTAGTATATTTTGATGGCGGAAGCCATCCCAGTGGACAGCTTAAATCCGTTTTCAGCGAAATACAACGCGGGCTCGAACAAAGTACTGAGAGGGAACTTTGCAAATTTGGCTGCAGCGTCAGCTACACCCGCAATGAAACCTGGGACGAGAACAGACGCACCATTGGCTTCTGGAGTGTGAACTTTGGGGATCTGGGACGGGTCTCCTTTCAGTGGGGTATTCCAGCCGCCATTGATACTGTACACCTTATTAGATGACTTCTCGTAATAGAGAATTTGCGTGACACCAGCATATGAAACATACGAACCAGTCGCCAGCGTGACCTCTGGGAAAGCAAAACGTAGTTTATAAGTAAGGATATCTCATAAACGTCCCGAACTGTGACCTGAGTATTTCCATCAATCGTAAAGTCATTCGTTCTTCCTTATTTTATTTTTTTTTGATTAACAACATGGGCGACTACAGCAGTGTCCTAACATTGCCTTGAAATAATTTGGTCTAATTGCGTATTAGGTCAGTGCGCAGATAAACAGAGTCAAAACACAAAGAGTAATAAGAAATTTGCGATGAAACTGTTGATGTCACGGTCATAACTTTACAAGCGTGATGAGTGTTTTTCATAATTTATGCTAATTCTTTAACTACTAAGTTATTTTATCAGCTGCCGCAATTCTGTACTAAATGAAAAAAGCCTGCAATGCTGTTGAAAAGGTTATTCATGCCAATGAAGTGATTTTTCCCGTCAAACCTCAATCACGTGAGGGCTGAATTGAGCTCCTCACCCGAGGGCTCTTCGCCTAAGATTCCCCACCAAGTCCACCAGAATTTTCATGAAGCGTTTATTATACCTGCAAGGGCAGTTGCCAAACAAGCATCCATAGCATTCCCACCCTTCCTGAGCGCGTCCATTCCCGAGTGCACGGCGAAAGGTTCAGTTGTCCCAGCCACAATCCCTCTACCCTCACTAACTGCCAATGGCTTCGGTCGCTCATAGCGGTTGAGCGACATTCTTTCCAGGCGATCATACTCTTCTTGTGTCCAGTTTGCAGGGGAAAGTGATATGCCCCAGGCTGGAGTCCACCAAAGCATCAGCAGTGCGATAGAAATTAGGAAAATGCGATACATCTTCAGCCGGCTAAGAACAACAGAATGGTTAGACCTTTTTACTGACTGATTTACCTACGAACGCAGCTAAAAGGCTTTAGTTTATTTAGTATGAAGTGTCACTGTATATCGCTGTTCAGATGTTCAAATAAAGTGGGCGGGTATTTATGAATGCTAAGGTCACACTTTCCCTAATTGATCTTGGTGAGTGAGATTGACACGATTACTGATTCATTCTTTAACTTGAGCCATCAACTAAACAACGAAAAGGGCGACTCAGCCAATATTGAATGGCTTGCATGATTTTCGTGGCTTCGTTCACTCTCCAATACAAGAAAACTCCGAGAATAGATTTGGAAAATAATTAAGACTCTGTGACGGAACTTCGAAAACTGTGCCAGAAACGAAGCAATAACTTCAGGAGATCGTGTTGTTTAGGAGCTATTAGCTATTAGCCTGTCATTTGATAATGACTCACGCTGATGTAACTGTCTCAGTAATGTTGTTGAGACCGGAAAAACTAATTTTCTGCATGGCGACGAGATCATTCTTTTACCCAGCTTACATGTCAGTCGGTTACACTGATTCTTTAATGGAGCGCCCTGGACTTCAACCACCTCATCTCATTCGTACATGAGTTTTGAGGCAAACTAGACTGAATGCTATCGTCGCTGATTGAGGTGGAGGGGGATGGAGGGGGGGGGGCGCGACACGGAGTAAAGACATGAGTCAATTTTAAAGATTGATTGAATTTAAAGGAATAGTAAATCACAGTTCACAGTTAAGTAGTTCTCATTAGAACACAATGAACTTAACAAACCACTTGGTCTGGCTGTTAGTTAAAGTTAAACTGTTCCACAATCACCTAAAGGCCAGTCGTAAAGAAAATTATTATTTGGCATGTAATTATATCTTATATCCATTTTCGTTTCAAATTAGTGTTTTGGCCGCCGAGAGAGGAAATAATTACCATGATTTTAAATTTCTTACATCTCTTTTCATTTACACCTAATCCATGAAATAAAAACTACGTGAAAACATCGTCTTTACTTTGATGAACGCGAGTTCATGATTTGATGGAAGAGGCACCTTACAGACGATCAGGTAATTTTTGATCAACGAGCGCCATCGACATGATTAGTTCTCGTGGTCCATGATGGATCACTGAAGTGATCTCGACCACTTTTCATCCAGTTTCTTTAAGTGATTGACGCCAGACATCATCCTAAGACAGGCAATGGCAAGTAGGCAGACCTAAAGCTAGCCATACATCCCTTAATTTGTCATCAGGTGCTTGGTGACTGCATATACCGGTCGTTTGTCGGGGGTAAGCCGAGCTAAATTATGGTAATTTGGACGACTTACTATTCTTATCGACTTCTTTCGTTACTCACAACTGATTTAATCGGGTTGCTGCTTGCTCGGTTCGGGACCGTATGTCATCTTGGATAACAGCATTCGAATTTAACATGTTCTAAAAACTTCTCTCATTCGATCCGCTTTAATTTAGTTCACTTCGGGTACGTGAAACGATCTGCCTGGCTCAACATAACGTTTGGTGCAAAGCCTGTCTCCTCTGGAAATGTCTGCGCTAAAACCCTGGTGCAAAGTTTAACCCCAGCTCAAAAAAACAGTACTTTTCTAGTTACCATGGCCTATGAAGAGGTCAGAATCAAGACGCTGACCTGGGATGGGACTAAACTACACTAATTCTGTTCTTTAAAGTCTACTTTAATATACTCAGTGTGGAATATTCCTGTATATGAGATAAATTGTGGGAATAATTATTCAACCTTTGGAATAATATCACATAAGAAAATGAAAAAAATAAGTTTTTTCCATGATTACCTTCTCCATGAGACTAAGATTTCACTCCATTACTGAATTTCTTTCATTGTATTTTCACAGTCTGCATATTACATGTGCATCTGTATTTTCAATCAAGGGAAATCTAAATATGTTTTTACAACACCTGAAAGCCTAGATCACAGCCAACAATACAATAAAAATAAATCAATCTGCAGAAGTTTCCTGACTGTCTGGCTGGCCATCAGGCAAAGCTTTCTCTTCATTTCCTGTTGTTTCAGGATATGGTATTCCACTAATCTTTAACAATTCTCTCAGGCCTCTGTTTTCTGACTCAATAGAAGCCATTTTTTCTTGCTCCTGTTGAATAGCTTCATCATCTATGTAGATTGCTTGTGCCATAACAGCAGCCATTTCACATATTTGCTCTGTCTTGGCCTGTAATTCCTGAAAGAGAAAGACAAATACATATGCTCAAATAACAGTAAAATACAACTATGAAAATAGATCATCCAGGAATGCTGATGGTAAAAAGTGCTGGATCACTAACTTGTTGTGCCCAATTGTCAAGCTAAATAGTGTATGGTCTAGAGTTGAGGCTAGAAGCAAATTAAAGAATGAGATGACTAAGTATCTTGGGATTGGATGAAATGCCAATACTTGTTCTAATAATTGTTCATGACTGGAATATATTTGAAGCTCAGAGAAATATGTGAAATCTCACTTTTTCCACCTTCCCTGAATACTTAAGAAAAACTCCGGTGAACCAAACTGTTCCATCTTGAAGCTTAAAAAAAAGCCTTTGTTCACCACTTGTCATCCACCCTTCAAAAAGTTAATTTTTGACCCTTTTACACCCCGTAAATGGAAAGGTATATTGTACACTACCTTGTAATTGTTCAGTTTCATGCAACTGGCATCAAGTCTATTTGCTTTGATAAGTTGAGAAACCTTTGGGCAAAATAAACAAAAACCTTCATGTGGTTTTCTTTCTTCATAAATATTAATGCACAATTATAATGAAAATTGAGGAAAATGAAGATATAATAAATGATAAAATAAACTTCAACATCAACATATCTTTGTTTCTTACATTGCTGGCAGTGCCTGTAGGCAATATGAAATGCATCCAGTGTTCTGATAGGCTACCTGAGCCAGCAAAATAGGCCCATCTTGCCTACTTCAGATTGCCTGCTTTGACTTAGCTAAGTTCTATAAAATTAGTAGGGCATTTGGTAACAGCCGGTTTTGCTACTTGTCAAGTACGCTATGTTCGAGTTTGCTACATGTTCACTACTTACATGCTAAATTAGCTACTTAGTTCATCCTACCATTCTATCATTCTACTTCCATGATCTTTTAGAATCAACATCTTGATTTAAAGAAATCTGCCTTACTCAAGCTGAAATGGGTGCCATGTTTTAGCATATTATCATGGAACAATGGCATTTACAAGAGAGAGAAAGCACAAAACCAGTAAAGAATAGTCAAAATTATTAATTTTACAGTACTTTCTTTATTTTATTAAACTATATAGTTCAGAGTCTATATGCACACTTAAAAGATTTCTACTCAGAGTAACATAAACAAATTGAATCTAGGGGTACCAAATCTAGGCTACTACACACAGCACTTGAAAAGCTTGTTATACAACATTGATTATACTCATCACCTAAAATCGTAATTTGATTACAATTATTATCATATAAAATCCTAAATCCTTCTTAACTTAAAGAAATATTGAAACCTCATTGACTCTCTATTACAACCCATCATACAAAAACAGGAGCCATATTTAAAAGGCACTACCAATTTCATCCCCTTTATTGGAAACACGCCACTCTGGATGTGAGCTCCCTTTACACAAACATCCCTCAGACAGAAGGGATTGACTATATTTGCCATAATACGAAGATCACTATAAGCATAATTTACCAATTCCCACAAATGATTTATGGGAACTTTTGCTGCTCATACTCAAAGCAAATTCTTTCAAGTTCAATGAAAAATTCTTCATACAAACACTTGGTGTTGCTGTGGGAAATAAGACACCAGTTGCCTTCTCTGCCATTTTATGGTAGACCTAGAAAAATGACCGTTAATTGCTAGCCCCTCTAACCTTTGGTCTGGAATAGATTTCTTGATGACGTCTTTTTACTGTGGGACATTTCTAATAAAAGAGCTGACAGTTTTGTTGACTTTGCCAATACATATTCCACCCTACAATGAGGTTTACTTGCAAAATGCAACCTTACAACATTCCTGAATATTAACAAGATGGTTGCGAGCAAATTAAAATGCAATTTGCATATGATCAGTTTAACTGACCTGGCTACTAAAAAAATGGTTGTTGGGAGTATAAATTACAGATATTGCTTGTGGTTTATGGTTAAAAGAGAAATTAAAACTGAATTATCAGAGGCTGCAAATTTGGTATGTTAGTAGCAAACATATAGCAAACTCGAAGATAGCCAACTCAACATGTAATGAAACCTGGCATGAAGCATGCATTTAAAAGCAGATTTTGGCCTGGGAGCCAGGAATTTGATTTAATCAATACTCAATAGTTGAAATGCCTAAAGGAGGTATACAACAAGGTTCAATGATTTCTCCTTTTTTCAAAGGAAGGATATTCAAATTAGCTTTTAACAAAGGGACTTGGATGATTGTATTAGAACTTGGCACAGTCACTCTGCTCCTGAGACTGAGAGACTCGGGTATAATCTTGTAGAGTTTGCACATATGAAATGACATATGTTTGGGATACAATAGCCAATAGTGTCTTTATTGATACACTGTACTCCAAGAGTACTGTCTACCTTTCACATTACTCACCTAGGCTTCAAAAAGTGTAATTAGAGGCTTTGGGAAAACCATCTGAGGTAGTAAATGTATCTTGTCCCCACATCTACTAAAGGAAATGCTGTTTAAGACACTAACCTGATCCCTGTACTTTGCCATGATAAGCTCCAAAGCTGACTGATATTCTGCTACTGATGTCTGAAGCTCAATATTTTCTTGTTGCAATTCCCTTATACGGGCATTTTCTTCTTGACTGCCCAAGATAAGTGTGCTGCGTGGCCTGCGATTTGCCACTTCATTTAGATCACTGACCAAGTCATGGTACTGTAACACAAAATGGAACACTCATCAGCCTACACAATGAGCAACCAAACTAAGGTAAACCAGCTATGAACAATGTAAGATCCTAGATTTAAAAAGCATTTAAACCTGAATTGATACTCAGGACTTATTTTCGATGACTTCTTTTGTGGTGTTTCTCACTGAGATGATCACCGACTAGAATATACATGTAGCAATGCTTACCTATTGCGACCAAAATATTTTTTAAAATGTTCTGGGTGAATGTCCACCAAATTTGGCGGTTGTGAAAACTAACTCATTGTAACTGAACTGCTCCTTAACCCCCTCAGTAACTAATGCTATAGTTTGTGGTGAACCGTAGCGAAGGTCTCGAATTTTAAGGCGAAATTTGTCATAGCTTGGTTACTGTTTACCTTCTGCAAGACTAACTAAAAGTAACCACAACGTATATAACTGTTAGGGCTAATTTACATTGCAGCTTGATGACTACAAGTTCTTAATTTGTTTTGCTAGATAATGATATGGAAAGTTCAATTTGACAATTCTACCTGCTTCATTGCATCCAATTTACAGTGAAGACCATTTGCTTGACTAATGAGTGCATCCGCTGAGCCATTATGCTCACGAAGACGACATGCTAAGCGTTTTGCGTCCAGTAATAACTGGTCCATCTCGCTATAATACTTACGAAACTAATCGTTTCAGAGCCGATTCTCCATTTTGAATTATGTAAAACAACCGCTGACAGTTTGAATTGCAGTGGAGTAATTTATTTTAAAAGCTTTAAATATTTTTAATTGCCCATTGTATGTCATGGTAGTCAGGATGGCCGAGCGGTCTAAGGCGCTGCGTTCAGGTCGCAGTCTACTCTTGTAGGCGTGGGTTCGAATCCCACTTCTGACAGCAATTTTTTATTTTGCTCTTAGCAAGAATAAAGTAAAAATTTTATTTACTTCTATTTAGGCTTGAACCTTCCCTAAGATATTTTGGCTTCTTGTGAAAAGTGTTGTCTCTTTTGCCAACTAAATTTAAAATGAAGGCGTATCCATTTAAAAGGTTACATACAACCGACGCATACACCAACTCCGACTTAACGAACAAAACACCCATATCCAGTTAGCCAGAGAAGTCGAAGAAAATAGGAAACTACCTTCTCTGGACTGCCTGATTAGCCGTGATGGCAACTCACTACAGACAATAGTTTATATAAAACGGACACATACAGAATATTAGACGAGTCATCCTACAACCCAACGTCAAACAAAAATGGGTCCTGTGGGCTATCTAAAATATTCCGGGACTCCCACAAGGGTTACTCGGTGTTCGGCTGCGCTGCTAGATCATGTCTTTGTTACGCATCCTGAACGAATCATCGAAACCCTTGTCCCGATAGATGGACTAAGCGACCATTATCCGATCTGCTTCGTACATAAGGCTCGCGTCCCTAAGTCACCCAAATCGCATAATGACACCGTTAAATACCAGAGCTTCAAGAATCTTGACAAAGATAGATCTATTTACGATCTAAACAATGCTCCTTGGTCGTTGCTCGATATATTCGAAAATGTTGATGACAAGCTGGACACATGGGAATTGACCCCACACACACCTATTGTTGAGAAAAGAGTGAAAAGGAAAAAGTTGCCGGCACCTTGGGTGAATGGCGGCACTATCATGGAGCCTTCGAGCCAGAGATAAACGGGCAAAACAAATATCCTTGCAAGCGTTACGTATAAGCGGTCCGAGCTGTTAAAATGATCGCTAATGCTAAGTCACATGAGAAACGTAATTATGAAAAACATGAACAACCCAAAAAACTTTAGAAAACACTAAAAAAAAAAGCAGCACCAACACAGCTGATTCCTTGGTCACCTTCCTACATCGAAATGGATGGCCAACAAATAACAGACCACTTTCCTCAGTAAATGCCTTCAACAATAATTTCACCAACACACAGCTTTCTGTAAATTCTGCTGCTCCAGTGGACGAAAAGATTCAAGCAGACATAGATGCGAGACTTTCAGACTTTATCAAAGCCGGCATTAATGATCCTACGAAATTTAATATCCCTCTCACGACCACTAGACAAGTAGAAGAGAATATAAAGCGTATAGGGGGAAACAAAGCTACAGGCCTAGATGGTTTTGGAATTAACATTATAAAACTGGCACTACCAGTGATATCCCAAAGCTTAGCCAATATCTACAACACCAGTATCAACAAAGCTGCATTTCCGAATAATTAAGAAAGACTCGCCTAACGATAAGAGTAACCATAAGCCTATCTCGGTCCTACCAATAATCCTTGAACCTCTTGAAAGACATTTCGCTTCATCCTACCTAAAACCTGACAAACAAAGGCCTATATAGCAAGCAGTCCGCCTATCGTCCAAAGCACTCCTATGAAACTGACAGCTCTGTTGAGCCTCACAGACAACTGGCTAAATGTTAAGGACAACAGCAAGCTCGATGGGTGGGTACTTTTGGATCTTAGCAAAGCTTTTCACCAATTTTGGTATCTAAGGTTGTTAAATAACATGCCAGCCAACGAACCTTGAGGTGGTTCAAGTCTTGCTTGCGCGATCGTACTCAGACTTGCGCCATTTCTGCAGTATTATCTGACTTACTTCTGTTAGCACAAGGCGTCACACAAGGATCAATTTTGGCTCCCCGTACTATTTTTTCACTGTACATTAATGATCTGCCTGTGTGCTTATCAGCTTCGGATGTCGAAGTACATGCCGATGATGCAACGTTATCCAACCCAATTTGAAAAACAGTCTAAACAAAGCCGGCACTTGTTTTTCATCAAATCAAATGGTACTTAACACAAACAAAACAAACCACTTACTCATCGCCACACCACAGAAACTGAAACATATGAATCAGCCAACCTTCATTCTTTTCTTAAATAGCAACCACGTAGAAGAAGCCAATCCGATGAAACACTCTTGGTGTCAAGATCGACAATCACCTCGGCTGGCATAAGCACATAGAATACTTAATTGGGAAGCTGAACTCCAGAATTTATTTACTTAAAAGAGCCAAGGGTTACCTCAACCTCCAATGCGGAATATTCAGTGCACTCGTGAAGCCTATCTTTGAATACAGCTGCTCGGTTTGGGGTAACCCCCTAATGACCACCTGTAATCGGGGATTGTCCGGAATATTTCATAAAATTATAGAATTTTTGCAAAAAATACCTAAAGCTATAATGCGCGATCTTCTCTAAATAATACTTTGGCTGTAGCGAAATGCCGGTGAAAGGCGGGTCTCCGAACATTTCATGCGGGTGCGACAATTTTAAGAACATAAAAAATGAAAGGAAGTTTAAGAAACATTTGTTCAGGAGATTCCTAAACATTAATTAAAGTTGCGAACACTTTACAAGGACGTTTTAAGATAACTTTTTAGCGTAATTTTTTGCCAACTAGCTTTTTTTAACTTTTCACCAACTTGACTGCTCATGATGATATTTTTTACATTGTATAATCAATTATAATAGTCTTTTTTTCGCCTCCTTTTAGCCCACAACATAAACCACTAGGTCCAGATGTAATTGTGATAGCCATTAAAGTCTATTTTTATTTTATTTTTCGCAAAGCCACGACTATCAGGACTAGTCGGAGCAGATATGGAAAAAAAATTGAGTTTCGTTCCACCATTGCCACAGAAAAGGTTTGACACTTGAATCTGGTAGAGGAAGACCTCCTGATTAATGTGAGGTAGTTTGAATTGTGGTATACGTTTCAACCTTGCTTACTCGAGCCGTACGGGGGTATATTGGTCCTCGGTCGTTTCTGTAAGGACTTCGTTGCGCTCGGTCCGTACTGCTAATTCGGCCAATATTCCCTAGTACGGCCCTCATGCTCGGTCATTGAGGCGGTCATTAGCCACCTCCGGTTCGGTGAATAGTTGTTTATTATTTGATCGGTGATCGACAGGGCTTTTGCCGTGTTTTCCTGTTATATATGAAGGAAAGACCTTTACAAGGAGACCGAAGGCGATTGGATTCAATTATGGTATTCACTTACTGTTGATTACAATAGATATTAGGCTAACTGCGCTAAGGAAAAAACGGTAACGCCAAAATAATCCAGTTTTAATCAATTTGAAATTAAATATCACTTGGGCTTGAGGGATAATCTGGAGACAGTCGTGAAGGTGCTATACATGTATGCAAAAGAAAAAACATATTGCAGATGATTTCATTTATTCCAAAGTATTTGGTCCTTACAGGCCGGATTTTCTAGGTTTTTCATTTTTCTATATTGCCATTGCCCAGTTAATCAAAGAAATCTAAGTAATTTTTTTTCTATTTTTTGCGGGTCCTTTTAGTTTCTTAGAAGATGAATGAATCAATACATCAATGCAAGAAAATTATGGATTGGAATACATAGGTGCCACCGAAAATACACAGACAGTATGATTGAGTTGAGACTTTAAACCTGGTAGAAAATTATATGTAATCTGAATTAATTAATGCTTACATATTATCTGAATTCCTTAACCTGTAGAATAGGTCTCAATTTTCCAATTTTTTTTATGAAAGGAAGTGGTATGATTTTCGTAGCGTGTCATGGGTGAAACTAGCCACCCCTTACTGTTTCAAATAATCTCTCTATACTTTTAGATTTGACGGCAGGTAACCGTTTACGGAACTTTCTATGAAACTAGAATTGCGCACATAATACCAAAAGCTTATAAGAAGGTACACATCAGATTAAATTTATTAACCAACTCGGCTGGTGACATAAAAAAGTCGGATTCATCCAGCAGATCATTAATGTAGCGTAAATTTTTTTTTCTTTAGAACACAGATTTATTTTCTATCTTAATGAAAACATCATTCCACAATGGCTAGCTTCTGTTGGTTCACGAACATATCTGCCTTCCAGAAAGTATTTTCCATAAAACAGCTAGCTAAAGCTGATAATTCTTTTTTTTTTAATAACCAAACATCTTCCCAATGGAGGCGATCGGAAAACAAGAGCCTTTCTGCAGTCTCCCTGATAACTTACGTCCCATACCTTTTTAATCCAGGAAATTTTAGAGTGTTAGCGAACGACCTAACATTGGTCATCTTCACTGAACGAATTAAGATACTGCGAGTGATTTGATTACTTGTATTTTGCCTATGATACTGTAAAGCCTCCAGGACAATGAGTTTTAAAGCTTTCTGACCTCATCTAGCTTTATTCCGTAATTGTGCTCCACTTGTCGCTGGTTTTCACCAAAAAAACATTATTCCGAGTATGTCAAAAGGTTCATTAAAACCCATGCTAAACTTTCTCCAGAAGCAGGACGTGTTTTGAATCTCTTGCATCTCAGTCACAGTCTTAGCTTTTTCTACATTATCCTTCAGACCAGAGCATTCTCCAAAGAGTTCCTTGGTGTCTAGGCACAAGGAGAGTAAAGGTTGGGTTCCATCTAAGAGGAAAAGGTGTCATCCGCATGTGTAACTCCGGTAGCGATTTATTCATGGATTTATTTCTCGTTACCATGCTTGTTGTTTTCGTCAGATAATTCTCATTGCTAATTGATTTCAACTTGGTCAGTCGTTTCGTTAGTTTTTGCTAGCGCCGTGTTCGTTACGCCACAAATTGTAAGTTCGTTTCTATTTCATGTAGCTTTGTCGCTATCCTTGTTGTTGTTATATTTGTACTTAAATATTTATATTAATAATTTATTTTCAGTCGAATCAAATCTGCACATCTGCACATCTTTATACCTAAATACACGTCTATTTGATAAGTAGTTT